GCCCATCATCTCGACAGTGTAGTGGCAAATTTCAAGGGCATTTGGATGATAGCAATTATTGTGTGATTAAAGTTCTTGACAATTGCAAACGCACCCTAATTAGGAACAAAAGAAATTTGCTAAATTGTCGAAAGAGATTCGTTAAGAAATTTTATTTTATTTAATATCGATAACTATAAAGACAATCCGCTTTCATTGCCGGATCTCGATGCAAGGGGCTCGCTGAATATTTGGCATGCTTTATGCGAAAATTGCCTGTAAATTCATTCGCAAAAATTGTTACATTTACAGTGTCAGCCGAAAAAATCCGTAAGCCAAAGTCTCACGTAATAGAAAAATGAACAGCAAGAGATGATTTCTATACGTTTATTATCACGCCATTATGGCCTGGAGTTGATCGAAGGACCCAAACTGGCCGTAACATTAATACGTTTTTACACTCCTAGTACGCTGCACACATGCTTACATAATTATGTAGATGCGCTAGTTACACACTGTCACAAACAGCTATATGTCAAAGGAAATGGTACCGATGGGAGAACCCTTGCGTCTTCATTCCGAGTCTCAAAGGTAACGGGGCTCTCTCTGATACTGTTGCTAGCCATCCAGAATCAACGCATTCGAATCATGGTTTGAGATCAAAAGGGAAAGCGCCGGTATAACGAAAAATTGGTTTGAGATTGCAGGAAGTTAGCCAAAGGGGACAAATATTTTGCCTAGGAGCGATTTCCAAGCTAATAAAATTTTTTGTTGTTGTTTATTCAATAGAAATCAAAACCCGACTCGTGTTTTGAGTTTAGATAGAAAGTTGAACTTGTGAAAGAAGGATGCACCAGATTTAGAGTTTATCGTTGACTATACAATCTATATTTGCCGCTGCTGGACTCCTGCCACTGTAGGAAGCCAAATAAAAGGTACTCAAAGCCGTAAAAACGGGGAAGCCTTTCAGCAACTGATCATTGAGTAAATATGTTAAGCAGCATTTCTTTTCTAAAGCAGCTAGATTGGAATCAGCTGTCGATGTGTTCATTAAATTTACGGTGCAGCTTCCCTAATGTATAAGATGCAAATGTGCAGGCCTTATATTTTGTCTGGGCAATCGATTTGCTTCCCTAAAAAGTGATTCCAAATTGTTTAGGCACAACCTTAATAGTTTGAGAGCTGTGCCTAAGAAGAGGAGATTTGGCTTCAGTTCAGCTTTTTGAGTGTATCTTATACATTTCATCTCATGTAGTGTGATGATATAGAAAGACCTACTTAAACACACTGATCATAAACTTGATCAGAACGTTCCGAGTCTCGCACGTTTTCACGCGATGTGGCTTAACGGGCAAGTTCGAGCGCGGGGCTACCGTGACCATTCTTTGGGAAGCTTCTGCGTTGCTGCTTCCACTAAACCTTCTTATAGACTTTCTCGCATTGTTAGAACTCCTTGCGTTCGATACCACATCGTTATATCAAAAGTCTTTAAATCAACAAGAGTAAACGGCTACAAAGTATAGCCGGAAAGACCTTCCGTGCGTTTACCTGACGATTGGTACATCGCGTTGATGCCAATCGGCGAAGGAAATATGGTCAATGTTCTATAAGCCTTACTATTTTCCAAAACGTGGTGGTGACGGTGTGGTCAACGGCTTTCCAGTTAACCCGCGAAACGTACTTTTTTTTATTTGTTCGAAGATACTGCTAGATGACATCGGTCTAAAGCTGGAGTGAGCTTTTTAATTCTGCTAGTAGTATCTTGCTCTACTACACGGACACTTACCGCACTACAGGATTGTCTTCTGCAACTAACCTTCTCTCATGCTAATGTCCTCAACCTCATGTTAAATATTAACCAATATTTTTGAAGACATACTAACAAAATTTGCGATCCACAGCTCAGTCATCCTGCGAAGTCTATGAAGCGTTGCTTCAGTTACGCCACGTAGTGCATCGAGAGGGATTTATGGGCAGACATGACTCAAGCCTGTATATTTTAGAATGACAAAACATTGGAAGATCAAAACAAAGAGCCCAGGAACTACTAAATAGGTACATTGTTTTCGTTGGCACGAAACAAGGCAACCAATTATTCTAACACAAGCAGAGAATCACAGTAAAGGCTGAAGCTTTACAAAATCACTTGGGCACTTCAAAGATTGCGTTACATCAAATATAGGCAAATAACTAATAACTAGTACAATAAATTAGTACTAAAGTTATTAGCACGTAGTAAAATAGCACTCGTATGATCACGCATTGTGTGAGAAAGGCTTTAAAATAGGTCTAGTGCCTAGTTCTATGACTACTCAAAACACGCGAGCAGTTTATCCCTAAATCATATCCAGGTTGCAGATCGATCTGAGGATCTGAGAACGTAGCTGTATCTCTAAAGCGAGTTGGTATATTATTTTATATACTGCTGCATCAAAACAATTGAATGATTACTATTATATGTAAAGAAAATAGTAAATAGAAAAAAGATTGGAACAGTACATGGCTAACATTAAGACATGGTCGAGCTGTTTTATAGGTGAACCAATTCGTTGCGCAAAAGATTCGATGGACAACGCTTCGTATGCAAGATCCCTACTTCTCTCTAGAATCGCCTACAGGATTATGTAAAACCCAGCCGAGCGTCTCATCTATCTGAACGACCCAACCGCAACGTCCCAATTAATGGCACTACCTTTCCGACACTCAAATTAGCCACCACTATAAGCCATGATCTCATTAACAGTTCATACGCATTAATAAACTGTCGGTAGGCATAGCTTATCTTAGATAAAACCGTTGTCTCAGTTATCAGTAGTGTTTCGCATATAATCAGGTTTTTGACGAGACTAGAATGGCATTCAATGACGAAATCACGAACCGAATCAGCCATGAGGTGTTTTCAGATAAACTGCGGGGAATATAATAGGGAAGAAGGAAAAGGCCTTTAAGTCAAAAGAGCTCACGCGCAAGTTTTAAGCGAAAGTTGACCTGTCACTACTGCCTTTTATGCGTTTTGAATAATGTGCTGCGCTCTCATAATCATTCGGTTGCAATGCCAAATTATACCGTCGCCGATCCAAGCAAATCGCTTGCACCAAAGGCCAAACATCAAAGAGGTCACTTCTTTATTTTTATTTGCAAACGTCAGCCGAAATAACGGCAAAATATGAGCACAAATACAGTGCAGAAGTAGACCACAAAAAATTTCCCTCTCACCGCACTCTTTTAAGAGTAATTGCTGCTTCCGAATGAGCTATGATGATGCTATATAAACATACATATATATTCGCGACGCATCTACTCAGTCATTATAAATATGTAGCGTTTTTCGTTTAGAACTTGAACATTACCTGTGTTCTGCATGTTACGCGGTTCAAAGTAACAGCTGCGTTCGGAAACAAGTTTTGGCGCCGTTTCTCCAGAATATACTACAATGTCTGCACACAGAGATCGCCTGTTTTGTGTTGACTCGCGGCAATGAGCTCTCTTAGTGATTGTCCGCGTCGCAGATAATGTAAGGCTCTATCGGAGGCGAGCCATTTCTGGGATTGGTCGTTATGTAAGAAACCATTAGGTCTCGACCCACTATTACTTCGCAGGCATCGACCCGTTCGAACGGAACTGCCGGACACCTTGTGAAGGCTTTCGGCTTTCGGGGGGTAGGTTACGGAAAGTTCATACGATACCTGTAGTATCACAGACATAATCTCGACTCATAGCGAGTAGGTGATTATGTAGGCCGCATGCTCTACTTTCTGAATACTGAACCGCTTTTTAATCAACAAAATGTAAAATACAAGGCCGAATTACGTTATTAAAAGGTTTCAACAATGCAATGGCACATATTAAGAATGTTTTCCTGTAGATAAAATGCATATTTGCTAATTTCCTTAAGGTATATGAAAAGACTTGGGATATACTTAATTACCTTAGCTGCGCGCTCAGATAATGCTGTCCAGTCATCCGTCGAAATGTGGTCATTCACTGGTGCCACGGCGTTGACCGTCATACCAGTATCTATACTTTCAGTTTTCATACTTGTCGTTGGAAATACGGTCTGAGTCTCTGATGGTTCAAGTCCAGCCACGCGGTCCACCGAAATGGGCAATACGGCTTTTATGCTTGTATCGCTCAAGAATCTTGCATGCACAGTATATTGTCTTGTCGGTACGGTAACATTTATCTCTGACGTTTTTAGTTTACTTTGGCCAACTCTTCCCAAAGCTATGTCAGGCCAACTTTTCGTTGCTCGAAGTGGTGAATGCGGCAACCGGCCCTCTACGATCGGTACCAATGACTTACCGTCTCTGCATAAAAATATGTGAGCTAACGTTTTAATAAAAAAAAGAATATTAACCTGAAATAGTTTCAGAATTGTATTCTACGATCTTTTACAGAATTATTGAATTTCACATATGAGTTCATGTTAAATATAACTGCTTTTACGAAATATTCCGAAGTTAGTGAAATCAAACTTGCTTATACAGTTCATGAGCCTACTGAAGCCGTTTGCGATGCTGTCGCGCTGCTGAGATAATGCAACAAGATAGAGCACCCAATGCATTGTCTCATCGAAAGCAAATGGATAGGCTGGCTTCGTGTGCTTAAGCGAACAAGGCCGGAAATCACTACAGAGAACTTCAGCCTTTGCTGCACATCCCTGACAGCTACGGCAGTAATAAGTGCACGTAAGTAACAAAATACGTAGCAGTGAAACACAACATAAATCGATGACAAAGACAACATAGGCACGTGTCTTTTCGTCTAAGTATTAACTCAGGTTCCGCATCTAGAAGAACAAGAGTGATTCTATCAAACGCCGTATTCTAAATAGGGTTCAATTAAGCTTGCAGTTTCAACAGAAAGAAAATTCCATTCTTGTTCCAAAATCACCGCACACGCCTGTGATTTGAGCTCATACTTGAAAATTAGAGCTCGATAATTACTTAAAGCTTTAAACCAGAATTACATACCGTCACACTTCATACGACACACTTATTACATGTCGGATACCTTTTTAGGGACGCTATCGTATTTGCTGACGATTCAGTCCAGAAACTACCAAGAGCTTCGTGGTCTAGAGAACTTGGCGCACTGTCAATACCATCTGGAAAAAAAAGAAAGAAATAGTTAAACCTTGCTGACCAGCAAAAAATATCAATGTTCTATTTACCATTGTCTGAAACCCCAAAAGTTTCGAGAAGTGATTTACAGGGTAAATGCTTTTTTTCGAGAAAACTTCTGCGGGCTGCCCATTCTAAACGGCGTGCTTTTACCCACTACTCCCAATTACAGATGAACGCCCGTTCTTTTTAGAGCAAAACAGCAAACTCGCCATGGCGATCGATGGGGCGTCCCTTTTGAAATTTGAAGTAAAACGAACCTCTACATAGCAAATGCTACGCATCAAAAAATCGGTTGATCATGTTCTTTCCCGAAAAACCAATGGCTTTCAAGTCCTTTAATTCCAAAGAAAAAATCAGTGTCAATATTGCAAAAACAGCGTTACAGAATACTCTGGCAGATTTGTGTTAAGCTTCTCTATAAAATATATTCTCATGCTTCATTTTTTCGAAAATCTTATCCTTTTCTAAGTAACTGCAAAAAAAATTCTAATAATCATCGCGTGTATCTATCAAATCGATGCAACGTATCAGGTTTTAGGATAAGACCCCTAAACTTTCTTTAATATATCAACCATCTCACGCTAAAAATCTGCCAAGCTTCGTGTGCACAACGTGCAATAGTATGCATCTCCAACCGCGCATTGAGCGACTACAGTAACTTTCGTTGAGTATTTATACTTTACCCCCAGCAGAAAGTATCTTTGCTGGATCCGAACACTCCTGGAGTTCCAAGGCCAAACTTGCCTTAAATTTTAAATAAGACACCATCATTTTGTTAAAAGCCAAACGTTATTTTGAAGTCAACAACATTGATTACAAAGCCATGTAATGCGTGGATTTAAAAAGTAAATGCATATGTTCCTATTTGTCGAAAAAAGATTGAGCCAATGTTGATTGAGGCTAACTGTTAAACTAGGAATCCACAAAATAAGAATAAGCAACTGACAATAAAATGCAAGGTTGTGTGAATATGGGAACCTGCATGTTGGTTAGATAGCAGTCTATACAGAAATAAGTGCTCTCAAGACGATCAAGAGCGGCTTTGACCTCGCCGCATCTTCCCACCGCGCGTTTTAGAACAGGATAAAGAGTTTCAGTAAAATAAACGAATCCTTGAGCTTTCATCAAATCGCTGTTTTTATCCTTTCGGCCGGCTTTAGAGTTGTTCGTACGTTTTACAATGACATCACTCGATTTGCTAATCTCAGCACCTCTACTATTCTTCGGATGATCCCTGTTCAGTTGGTCTTGAGGGCCACTTCTGCCATGTTTGACACGACTATCTTGTTGAAGCTTGTCACGTATAAAGTTGCTCCGATCATTCTGGTAGGCTTTATCATCTCTTCTATTTAAGAACTTGCGAAAGCTCTGTGTCAGACGGCGTAATCTAAGCTGTAATGAACAATATTGAAGTTCAAAAAGCAATCCAAACTAAAAAATTTCAAGAACGTGATGCACGGAGATATTCGCAACTCAGTCATCTGAGGTGGCAGTTATTTGGTTTCTCATATTTGCTGCATATTAGGATTTTCTTACAAAGGAGAACTGCGTTTTACATCGGGCTACACATACAGACATTTTTCGCTTTTCATAGTATTCATGACTGCAAAGAAAAAAAGTGTTGGTTGGTCTAATAAATATCGCTTAAACGTTATATAAGATATAAATATGTATATAAAATATATAGCTACATCTGCCAGAAAAGAACCATAGTTTATCTATATATATGGAGTTTTGCATAGAGAAAAATGTTTTGCTCTTTCTCAAAAGGGGCAAAGGGCTGATACAAATTCCAAAATTGATAGAGAACATTAAGATAAGAAGAGACGTTAATTACAACATCGACAAATAACAGCATTACTGTGTGCCAGTTGTTTGTAGTTACTGCTACCGACACACACAGGAAGAACTATAAAGGTGCCTTTTGTACGTAAATTCTGACTTCAGCTTCACTGATTGCCAGCGAAATCCGTAATTCGTTGGCAAACGCTTACTTACTGGGAATGCTGCTTTCTTGTCTTTTGGAATTTGCTGAGCTTGCCGCTTGCGCCACTGGCCGCTTTCCTTGAAGCTATCCCTTAGTGACATATCATAGCTCGCAAAACAACCTCGTTTCCAACGAACAATTGTGATCTGACACGGTATTCTCTAGAGCCAAAAAGTTCAGTAGCAAAAATAGAGTATTAAATCTCATCTATTCAACTAAAGAAGTGATTTTTAAAACGGTTAATTATGTGTACTGAAAAGTATATCACATACGACAAAATGGTGCAAATATAGAATCATGTGTTCCACAATGTGACAAAGCCCAGACTGAGGCCAAAAAGAGGTGATGCTGTGTGTTTGGTGGAAAGTAGTCACGCGTAGTGAGTTGTTGCGTCCTGGAGAGAAGACAGATTGGAACAAATAACAAGCTATCGAAAGTGAACAAAAGAGGCGTCGTCTTCTAAAATGACAATTTCAGATTACATACACCATTAACAACTTGGCAAATATTTAGAGAACTGGGACACTTTAATGCATCCGCCATATAACCCGAATTTTCTACCACATGAACTTTTTGATGATGCTACTTTAATTTCAATGGAAACATGCAAAAATCATTTGTCTCAATTTTTCGCGGGAGTTCTATAGTAATGGATTACGATGGCATCAGAAAAATGGCAGAAGGATATCGGTCAAAATAATGCATTTTAGTTTATTAAAATTATTTTAGGGTATAAAAAATATTTGTTTAGATTTTCGCTTTCATCGATCAGCGCTTTTTTGACCATCCAAATGAATTTTCACAGTCCTAGACGAATATATTAGCAGTGAAATCTCACCTGCATAATACGATAGTCCTAAACGCCTTTAGAAAAGAACAACATCGCCTAAAAGCAATGTGGAGGACCGGCGTTAGATTTTTTAAGCAGTTGAAAACGTCTATGTAATAACTTCGGAATTTTCTGACTGTATTTCCACAACGCAACCTATGTATAAAACATCTATGTGCAAATGTTTTTACGATCGAACTTTGTATAAATGTGAAAATGAGTAAGTTGACTTTGTCTACTTGTTTCGGTGCACCCTTGTGCAGAGCCTTTTAGAAGTCAGTTACAATATGAAAAACGCTATAGAATCTAGGTGTATTCGAAATCTAGCTATACGATATCTGCTATTTTTATAGAGGAACTTGTTTACACTGGTACAAATGTTTGTTGAAAACAACAGCTCTGGATGTGAATATCCCATTTCTTGTTATTTGAAAAACGCTATGGCTCTGACTTTCGTGGTACGGGTATTTAAAACTGTATATATATATTACGTTACCTGCTTTTAATAGACTTACCTTAATAAACAAAATAGAATTTTTATCCACTAGATTGCTTTAAATTCATAGGTTCGAATCTACCAAAAGAAAAGGTTAGGCAAATATGTAGCTGAAATAATTGTTGGTTAAGGTGTAAGCATTTTTAGCTCCTTGACCGCCACTGTTCCTGTTTTTGCAGTTCACCTTACGTTTCTATTTGCAGATTATTCGTGTACTAAATGTGCCTTCTTAAAAGGGTTTGACAACAATGATTAAAAGAAAAATATTTTCATTGTGCTATAACGGTGACAGTATGGCTCTTTTGTATAGAATTAGCATTGAGTTGTTTTCAGAAAAATGTTTACACCTGCTTGGCGTATAAACATATCACATGGCATGGATAGTACCTCTATTTCAACAGCATATATGATTTCGCGAGATTGAGACTGACGCTTTCTGAATTCTTAGAGACGACGAGCGCTGCATAGCTGCCCAATCATCGCACCCACTTTATTACTTTTTTTCCTTAGTGTGTTTACAGTACAATACATGCTTAATTCCAGAAATTATATTTAACTTATTATTATTATTATTTGCCTCGTGGAATAACATAAATAGTTTTGCAGATATATGTCAAATTTGGTGAATAAGAATACATATGGCCTCCAAAGTTAGCAGTGAGATTATTTCTATAGTACGTGTTCATAATACTTTTGAAACCTTAAATTATCATATACTCCAGACTGTTTTGTGTATTATAGTAGACTACAACCGCCAATGGAGATTGTAAAGCTTTGTCATAATTTTAAAACGCTAAAAGTCCCCTGAACTGCAAGCTTTTGATTTGCCAAAACAGATTTGTTAATAATCACCTTCAAGGCGTGCTGCATAAAAGGCGCATCTGGAATGTTCTTCTGATTTTAACTAAGTGGTGCAGGCTAAATAAGCTAATGCGTTAACAACAGTCGGGTTTTGACATAACGTTAACGTCATTGCGTATTACACTAAATCGAGTTCCAATCTTAATGCACCAACAAAAAATTATCAAAGAATCCTGGTTCTTATTTCCGATCAGCCCTTTAAAACTAGAGCTAAAGCCCAACTCATAAAAATGCCATTTAAAGACAAAAGGACAACTTGTTAGCAACTGCGTTAACAGTAGAAGTACTAATCACATATATCATGAACAGATAAAAAATACTACTAAAAATCATTGAACGGTGTTAGAAAACTAGGAGCTTGGAAATGGAAATAGAACAGACTGAGAAATGGACGGGTAGAATGCAATTTAAGTATAAGGTCATATGTAAGGGACACCTTACTACGACTTTCTAGAGCTGGGCCCATTAATTGCCTCATTTTTCATTAGTGATATTTATAATCGTTATGTTTCAACTTATTTTTTGTAGAAATACGAAGCTGGTGATGGGGTATCTCTTTCACTAACGCAACTGCACACTAATTGGTAATATCTGAATGGCAATGCCCCCCATCATAACAGCACATCCTATGATAGTACAAGAATTCAGCGGACACATCGCTAATTACCTTTATCACTCACTGCTAGGCACAAATACCATAGTAAGCAAATGCTTCAAATATATTATACATTGTTTAGCTTAAGAAATTAAAAGTATAATGGATCATGTAATACACACGATATATATATATATATATATATATATATATATATATCAGTTCCTCAATTCTTGCTTAATAAGTCTCATTCTTTTTGGAATAATTTTAAAAAAGTGCTAAATTCTATTAAGTACCTGGCAGGAAAATTTCGCCACGTGAGTTGTTTAACACATTTAACGAGCCCGATTGCACAAAAATCTAGGCCGTGATCGCCTATAAAAAAAACAGAAAAAATGTAACAATTGAAGCACTTTCTTTTATAAAATATTTAACCTTTAGCCATTTGAGAAAATTCAACGTTGAACCAGCTCGTTGGCATAGCCCCGATTTAGGAAATGAACAAAGCTATCAAACGATGCAAATTAACGAAATATTCGAATATCTAATTAGTGAATGACGAAGTCATGATGAACGTTTAAACAATCCAGTATAAACGGGATTTTTCAATACAGGATAACCCAAAAAATACATACACTGCTTCATGGGTCATAACCTTCTGAACGTTTTTTTTTAAGGCGTAACTCGTTGAGAAATAAGTGGACCCATATAAACGCTTGAGCAAAGAAAATTTATTATAAATTGGGAGTATGAAAATATGACAGAAGCACAAAGATAATATCGCAGAAAGTAGACCTAACAAAATTATGAAAGATAAGCAACCGGAACTGTTTAGGATGCTCATAAATAACGTTCTAGAAGACGAGCAAATGGGAAAATTATAACGAAATAGTAATATAATCCAATTGTAAGCTTGGCGTCGACAAATCAAATCTCCATCGCACTTCAAGACGTTGGAGATGGGAAAATTACATTAAAATGGTGGTACATGCTATCAGTGACGGTGATCCAGAGCGAGAAATAACGCTTTTGCAAATATCGCCTTGAACAAATTCAACAGGATGCACAGTTTTCGGGAAAAATTGTTTAGAGCGATGAAGCTACATTCAAACTACGCACAAATGATATATATGATTGCTCTCATTGTATAACTATCAAGCTATATGTTACTCAAAAACAGCATGCATACTTGCTAGGAGCTAGGGTGTCGTACAACAATTGGAGCAAAAATTATTCGGGCCATTATATTTTGAAAGTACAATGAGTGACTCTAGTTATTTTAAATTACTGCAAAAATGAATCTCAATATGTGTTCGACCGAATTTTGGTGAAGCTCGCGAATTTTGTCTTTTACAACGGAACCGAGCACTTGCGCATTATTATCGTAATGTAAATGCATATCTTGGCAAAAATCTTTGAGGCAGGTGACTTAAACGAAGATGTATTATAGAATATCCTGCCCGTTTTGCAGACGCCAACGGACTTCCTTTTGTGGGATATCTTGAACATAAAATTTATGCTAGAAAACCAAAGACATTAAAGCCGCAGTTTAACAAGAACGCAGCATAAGAAAAACGAGTATGAGATTAGGACTTTACGTTGACAGAAATTTGGTATACAGTTTGATAATCAGCAAACATAGACAGTTTCTATTTGATTTAAACGAAGAACGAAATCATAAGCTCAATCATTTCCACCAAGGGAAACTTAACTATGTTTCAACAAAGCCATACAAGACTGTTCAGCCAGTGCATTGAATACACCCTTTATCTGCATTTTTATCAAGAGTATTTACTTATTTATTCAGCTTAGTCTCGTATATGTGTTAAATTCGCCCATTTCAGTGTAAGGTTTTCTCATCCATATCATATTTTTTTCATCATTATCTATGTAGAATCAATAATCAACACATTTTTTCATAGTGTTATACATATGCATGCCGTATATATTTGTCGCCAAAAGATCCCAAGCCCTGTATTGTACAGTTACGGACGAAACACTAAATTTTTTAAAGATGCCATTGTAGTGCATTGTCATTATTACGTTCTTTTTAATCTTCTTTCTTTGTAGGGATGTAATAAAAATCATATTGATTCGATTTAAGGATGCTGATGTAATTGTTATATGTAAAGCTACAGCAGTACGCCCATCAGAAGTCAAAAGTGTGAATAATGTGTCGTCCGTCATATAAATGAGTTCATGCCATATCCGCATGTTTCCTCATTATATATGTAGCCTAATATTACTATAATCCTTATAGTCGTCGTCACCTTTTTGTCCATCTCTCGTCTTCAATCATTTGTCTCCTGTTCATTGTCTTTTCCTGTACAAATCTTAATTCAGCCGTCTCTGTGACGTGAATAGGCATCATTGGTTACCTTTATGTACTTTTTTTTATTAATTAGTATTATTATATACATCATGCATACGGCATCATATATATATATATATATGAGCCTCAGAGCTTGCAGCATGGTCTTTTGTCTTCATCTAAATAGATGTTAAATTATATACTTCAGTATATATTGTATATATAATTAGTTCATTGTGACGATATATTATACTATAATAATCGTCAATATAAAGCAATAATAAAGATAATAATGATTATTGTTGTTCATATTGCGAAATCATTTTATTTCATTCTAAGAATAATATCCCTTCGGTGCTCCTTTATATCTGGTATATGGTAAAAAGAAACCACATACAAATGCAAAGAGCCTTGTTCTCTTTTAGAGTTATTTTTTGCAACCTTATTATATGTTTTCCGTCTTTTACTTTCCCTCTTCCTATGGGTTCTCATTTACCCCTTTTACTTTTCACTGTTTCGAGCATCACCCCTTTCGAACGTTAATGACGAAATATGTGAAGTGCTTGTATGGTGTATATAATTGCTGGACACATTGTGTTCCGAACGTCAGCCGAAATACGATGAAACCTTATTTTATAAACTAAATCTTATGTTTCTTAATAATATAGTCCTTCGGCTATGCTCTTCATGGCGTGACAAGTAGGCAGGCGGGTTAAGGGTCTCAGTCTTCTCTCTATAATGCAACCGCCACTTAATACCAGGGGCAAGCACTCCACGGATTGTATCTCATTATTGTTCTTTTCTCTCATTTTTGCATTAAACCCCCCTTCAATGTGAATGCGTTTGTATATGTATTCATATACAGCACTTTAGATACCGTGATACAGGTGACAGAGAACAACGTGGCTAGTGCTACTGTTGCACACCTTCCCTTCACACACGCACACCCACACAAACGCGAAACGTCTGGTTCCTTCAAGTGTCTGCTTGACAGTACTAGCGATGATTATGAAGCCCGGGTGAACGCGTTAGCCGAAATCGCTATCTCATATAAGGAAACGGACTAAAGCAAGTATGATGAGATTGATATTTCTATTCTAATTATAATGGTTATTTTTGGAATAAGATTCCCCATTGCATTGCCATTTATTCTGACATTCACCGATCGTTATATAGTAAATATTATTACATTATCTATTTTTTGTCACTGCTGTGGTTGTCGGTAAACGCATAAAAAATAACCAAATAACTTCCGTGTTAGCGCCTAATACAAAAAGCGCTACTATTCAATTCTTCCAGTCAGAACTAAAATTTATTTTTTGCTAATCATTATATACTTCGCTGAACACTTAGCGATTTGTATTTAATACCATCGTTGCGCTACTTTAGTTTTTGCACGTAGAGATAGAGTACAGTAGGTAGATGCTTATATAGGGCAGCATTCCACTTCTAATAGATAGATCGATTGGTAAATTATGCATATGTATACGCAGATACATATATTTGTCCTAATCTGAAGGATTGGAACTAATTTCGTAGATCTCCTGTTTAACGCAGTAGTCCTCCAAGTTTCAAGAGTCATCAACAACGCCATATTTTCCACATCGTCATTCTGTGTCATTAGTACTGTTATTATTCCTTGATATTTTATTAAAAATAATCTTAAGACTTCATTATCTAATGTATTTGCCGAGACTAATTTCTAGGATGTTTGGTTTGGGCAAAAAGGGTAGTAACATAGTGTGCAAGGCGCTATGTAAGATATCTACTACGACGAAACTCGCGTTCGATCGCGACCTTGTTCGTTACCGCCCATTATGTAGCTAAAGTATGTTTATCACTCACCAAACGCCAAGCACCGTTTCCCCTTTTGATACAGACCAAATATCCAAGAAACAAACTTTTCTGCTTGACCTGTGTACCCTATGAATGATTATCTTGACGAAAAAGGGGTAATTTGAGTTATAGGATATGGTCTAATTCTACCCGGCATAAAAGGTTATCCTAACGAGTTTTAACGGAAATTTTCGATTACATTTTTAGCGTGACTATTAAATAATTTCTGAAACTAGAGCTCCTTCGAGCACCTAGCAATTGTATGTTGTTATTATTATTACTATCAACCGATAATAACATCTCTTTATTGCATCACGATATCGTAATGTTTCTTTTCCCTTCGTCACTTATGAATGTTGAAAATAACTTGCTAATTTTATAGTAAATTGATGATGTTGCAACCGATTCTATACATTTCCCTCGCCGGAGATGGCGAAACAACATACTGTGCTGGAGTATGTATAAATTCACTAATTCTTTTTTTATTATATTACACATATTATATAGGATAACGTAGAGTTATGTACTCGAGCAAGTGCACCTTTAAGTTACGTTTGAAGATTGGTATTGACTTAGTCAGCGATAGCCTGCAGATATTCATTCCTTCTTTAGTTCTCCACGCTGAGGTTGTTTTTGTCGTTTTTTTTTGTTAATTTAAGTTGCCCTGATCCAAAAAATGCTTCGTCAAGCTTCTTTTGTATCGAATTATTGCCAGCACATTCTCCCCTGCTTTCCTATGCGCGCGCGTCCATTCAAAGAGTGTTTCCTCTCTGAACGCATTCGTCGCAAATGAATATTTCGAAGAAGTGCTGAATTTCTTTGCATCGTTTGCTTCGGTGTGTAATACATTAGTTTCTTTTATGCTGATAACCTTTATCAGTCTCTTTGTTTCTCTCCTTCAGTAAACTTCGGGGGAGAAAGACGAAGGGGATATAGCAATATGAGATGCTTTATTTTCATTTTCCACATTCTCCCCTCGTAAGGTCGTGTGTCTGTTTATTTATTGTTTTGGTGGTCCTTGGTCCTTCATGGTCCGAGCAGGCGACTGGGCTCCTTTTTAAGCGCTGCGGACGCCAAGCGTGCCTGTTGCTGTTGTTGTTGCTGCTGCTGCTCTCTGCCGGCGGCGTGCACCTCCTCGACGACCACCCGCGCGAACGCGAGCCGGGCTGCGTCTTGCACCGCCTCGTGCACGGGGTCATGCATCGCGTCGTGCGCCGATCCGTGGCTCGACGAAGTGTCCACATCGAGGCCCAGCGCCGCTGCCCCACCTGCCTCAGTGCGCCGGTGCACCTTTTCGTGGTTGCGCAGGCTCGACTTGGTCAAGAACTTGGCCTGACAGGTGGAGCACTCGTGCTGGCCCTGGCCAGTGTGCACTTTGTTGTGGTCCCGCAGGTGGCTGGAGGAGAGGAACGATGCGTGACAGGTCTCGCAGCGGAACGGCCGATCACCTGAATGAGTTCGTTCATGTGAGCGCAGATGAGACGTGCTCACAAAGCTCTGCCCGCAGCGTGCGCACGCATACGGCCTCTCGCCCGTGTGCGTACGCTGGTGAACTTTCAGGTGGGACGAATTGATGAAGCGCGCATCGCAGAGCGGGCACGCATATGGTCGTTCCTTCGTGTGACATCGCTGGTGGCTCCGTAGATGTGACGAACTGACGAAACGCATTGGGCACACCGTGCACTCGTACGGCCTTTCGCCCGTATGCGTGCGTTCGTGCACTTTCAAATGCGACGAATTAATAAAACGAGCATCACAAAACGAGCACGCGAACGGTCGCTCCCCGGTATGCGTACGCATATGCACGTTCAGCTGCCCGCTCGTCAGGAAGGCCTGGCCACATGTCTCACAGCGGAGTACGTCGCTGCCATGTATTCGAAAATGACGGTTAAGCGCGCGGTCGGATGGAAATGACTGCGTGCACAAGTGGCACGGGAAACGCAGGGCCGGCGATGGTGATGGGGCCGGTATAGAAGGTGCAGGAGGAGCTCTGGGTCCTCCCGTCGAATTATTATTGTTGTTATTGTTGTTGTTGTTATTGCTATTATGTTGCGCCGCCTGTTGAGCCTGTTGCGCAGCCTGTTGTTGTTGTGCGGCTTGTTGCTGCTGTTGAGCTGCCTGTTGTTGCTGCTGATGTTGTTGCTGAGCCGATGAACCCTGACCGGCGGCTGCCTGGGCTGCAGACGGTGGTGCTTGGGTAGCTGCTGCTAGCGCTAGCCCACTCCATGGTGGAACCGGTAATCCTGGTGGCCGAGGTAATGAAATCCGTGGTGCTTGCCCGGCCACGCTGGGAGCCCCGGTGGGTCGGGAGCTTGAGGTTGACGAGTTCCCGGACGGCCCAGAACTACTTGTGGGAGGTTGGACCGTAGGCGGCCCAGTCGGCGGATGTTCGACACCGCTCCCTCGACAGGCCACGCGTAGCCACTGGTGCCACTCGTCCGCCAGCAGCGCGGCTGATACGTGCTGACTCGGATCCAACAGCTGGCCGGCAACGAGGGTCGACGGCTGAGGGGTGTGGTGCGGGAGGTGCGAGTGGCTGCCGTCCGTTCCTCGAGAGCCACGTCTCGTTTCCGACGTCGCTCTGCCGGGGCCGCCACCGCCGGCGGACGGCACTTCGAGCGACCCCGCGTACCACCGAACTGCACCACTATCCGCCACGCTGCTACACCCGTCAGCCTCCGCACGACAAACAAAGGCAGGCGCCGCACATCAGGGCGTTCTCGCAAAACCTCACCGATCGCCACACACCGCGATAAGCAACAACAACAACAACAACAAAACACTCACTCTTTCACCACACGAGACCACTAGCACCTACTTGTACCCGTTCACAACACCAGCCCAGCCTAGCACAACGCCGCGACGAACTGAAATACGTACGCACGTATGCAGCAGCAGCAGCAGCAGCAGCAGCCTAACAGCAACGAGCCTCGACAAATTTCACAGTCAGTCAATCAGTCAGTCAGTCAGTTAGAGCAGCAACAATGACGGGGTCGGGCACCGTTCGTCGGATGATCCAGTACACAACTCAACAGTAAATAGATGAATGATTATCAGCAGTAATCACAGCAGCTATCGTGGTGCTGGCACACGCTCACAGTGCACGACGAGAAGGACGACGACGACGACGTTGTTGATAATAATGATACAGATAATGTGACGATGACGTCCGACGGCCACCGATGCTTCAGCGATCACCAATCGACCGATCAAGCAGCAGTCCCTCGGCCCAAGCGACCGTCGGCAACAATGGATGGTCCGACAGGCAAACACAGGAAGACAGACACTTAACCAGCCAGGCGACCAACTTCAGCTGAAAGCCACAGATCTCGCTTATACCGTTGGCCCAACCTTCACCACCTCCTACCCGAGAAAGCACCGCACGACGAACCTTTAGCCACCACTATATGAGGTGTTCTTTTCTCGTGTTGCTTGACTAGTTTTTCCACACCGATCCGAAACAGTAGCAGCAGCAGCAGTACGACGATGACAACAACCCAACACCACCGCTAACAGCAGCAGCAGCAGCAGCAGTACTGTAGTGTGTAGCGAGTAGTAGTTGTTGTAGTACGCCGCCAACGACGACGACGACAACGACGTCGACGACGACGACGACGACGACGACAACGACGACGACGACGACCACTACCACAGCAGCGGCATCAGCAGCGGCTTCAGCGGCGGCAGTGACGACAGCAATTGTAGCGGCGAGAGCAGCAGCAGCAGAAATATTATTACTTCAATCCCCGGACAAACGAACGAACGAACGAGCAGCCAGGCCGCTAACGACAGAGAGCAACACAACATAAAGAAACAACGGCAATAGCAGCAAACACACACGGCAGCGGCAGCGGTGGCGGCGGCGGCAGCGGCGTTGGCTTACGCTCACTTCAACACAATACTCAGCTACGGCCGGTCGACAGTAAACGACACAACGACGACGACGACACAGATAGCAGTTATAGTTTTATTAGTATATGAACGATAGGAGGACGGATGGTCAACAACGACGGCTTTTCGGCCACAGTGGCGCCTGCTGAGGCACGAAACGACGGCTACAGTAGCGGCAGCGGTTCCTTCCTTAGCGTCAGCAGCGACGCCGGCCGATAACCACAGACCAACTCACAGCACAGAGCAGACAGACAAGAGCACACATAAACACACATACAGTTAGTGAGCAAATAAAATGGCACAAAAGACACCGTGACGACAATGCAAGGTCTTATTATGAAGTAGGACCGCCTCTTCGGAGCTGTCCTGTCACATGCACAACATACCCAAGCACGGCAAACGCAGCGGCTATATGAAATGATGGCTTTTTGTATATGTCTGGGTATGTATGTTGCGTCTGCCTCCCGGCTTCGACCGCTGAAGGGGCGGCGGCGAGGGCAACGAGAGATGATCAAGAAAATGATGATAAAGATGGATATGAGGACTAGAAGAAGCACGACAACGGCGATAGCTCAGCAGCTGCAATTGCAGCAAATAAAACTAGCGTCGTCATTCACTTGCCTTCACATGACAGCAGCAGCACATGGTATTGGTGGTACCAACAGCAAAATTTTCGCAGAGTGATACACACAGACAACAGATTAATGCACACGCAAAGTCAGCCCACCGAGATACAAAACATACACCCCTGAATTGTTCCTTTTCGTAGATTTGCGCCGGGTTTACCCTGGCGCTAAGCGAGCGCATATGTGTCCATCCGAATCAATCTGCTTGCCCGTGTATATCTATTTGCCTGCCGCTGTTGTCCTTTTACAGCATAAAGCTGCTGTGGTTATGGCGTTTGTCGTAAATTGGGAAATTCATGTTCGCGTTATCAGTCCTCTGAGGAAGCACCTATGTGACTGATTGCGTACTGGGGTTAGGTGCTCCTGGATGTGTGAGTCCAAGTAGAGCTTTGTTTATTTACTTTCGAAATCGAAACTACTGGTAGTGAGCAGAAAGGGGAAAGAGACACCGAGGGAAGCGCTAAAAATGATTGTTTATCTAGCCGCCATGGCGAATCTCACCCAAATCGTCATACTTGGCACACAATTGTGGCGCTCAGTGTAGAACGAATAGAGTCATAGCAGTAGCTATCCAGTCAGTCCAGCAGTCATAGCAAGTAGCTATTTAAAATATAACAAACCTCTTACTTGCTCCTTTAACGATTTCTAAAAAGCGTTGCAGTATGACTGCAGCAATAATCAGTACAAACACGACATATCTATTAGTACTAAAAACTGTTTTTGATTGTTTGGCTTAACATAGTTCATTTGATTTCTGCAATAAGTTGAAATCTACACATAGAAAACGCACTGATCTAAGTCTGCACAGTACCCACTTCCGCAGCCTAGGAACTCAGTAATGGTACCGTACAAAGAATCCGAATGTCCTCGCCGATTACACGTCATTGAGAGACGAGCTCATAATACAATCTGGGAAAAATAACATGAAATTCTCCCACATTTCTAGATTTTGTTTTATTTATGCTGTAACCTAATAATAAACTAATATATTTACTGAGTGTTTTGTGTGCTTCTGTGAGATGGAGCACGAGGCCTTTACATACTCTTGCGGTATTAAAGCGGCTCGAAGCTTTCCATATTAATAGCACAGTTTTGAAGTACTCAATCGAGCCCTTTAAGTGCCGTGGCAGCAAATCGACCATATTGCTGCAAACAATCTAGTTGAATCTGCGTTTAAACCGCGTATAGTACCCTTATGCTTGAACCAAGCTAAAGACTGTGCACCTTGCAATTAGTTCAGCAGGAGCCAAGAGATTCTATTCTTGTATAGTCTTTAAAAGTATACAAATAAAGCAATTATTGTGAACTCCATTGCCGTTCTTTTATATTTGAACCAGCTATTAAAGCTAACTAACCACTAGGACACGTTAAACGTACGGTAAATGCTGACAGCAAAGCCTTTCGATGAAAAGGATACGTCTATGAGAAGACAGTTTGGAATTATCGGGGATTATGGTTATCTTACTATATTTTATTCGTGATAGCTACCATACACATCGAAAAAAACAAATTTTTCTAATGTTTGAAAAACAAAAAAAGTTGTTAAGCGTGGATACATGCGTAGTCAATAAACTACCATGCATCAGTCGGTTGATAGACCTTAATGTTGAAATTTCACTTTTTCATGTGTGTCTAGCTAAGGTATTTTGTATTTCATTCACTCATTCAGTACAGAAAAACGAAAGGTCGATCGAAAAAGTACGCCTCAACGAAAAATGTCTTTAAATACAAAATAGTTGTTTTCTGGAAGAACATATCAATGAAAGCTAGCATCAAATAGATGCAAATCCAGAAGAGGAGAAACTTGGGTCCAGCTAAAACCATATGCTTCTGTTTAAACGCACATGGCGAAAAAGTTGTTAAATGGCAAGATACTTACACCCAAATATAAACGCTACTGTTGAAGCAATTGAGAGAAGTTCGACCGCACGTGATACATGGACAGTACTCGAGGGCAGGCAGAATTTCAGTATTATTCCTCGATTTTATGTCAGTTAACTATTAAAATCGAAAGATAAGTCAATCATAGGCTAAGAAAAGTGTCAAAAAAAAAAAACAAAGTTTATCAGAACGAACCGGCTAATCAGATTACTCCGAAATGAATTCAGAGGAGGTAGATATAAAGGACACTAACCCGGATGCAAAAACGATTTTGGACATGCTGTCTCTACCCACTAATTACATGCATCGGTTTATACTGCTTTGCTCAGTTGATTGTTTCTGAACCGACGTCGACACGGTGTCATAAACACCAATGCTTCTATTAAAAGGGCCCAGATATCGTTACTTCTAGTTCTGTTAACACAACATAAGTATTATACGATTTGTGTAAACAAAAAGCGTTATTATTTGTTTCAAAGATTGTAGGGGTCGAAGAGATTACTGTTTAATTTTTGTGTAGTTCCGTTCTCGAAGACTGTTGGCAGCTTTTAGAACCAAAGCATTGCATCTTAATACATAATCGCAAAATTATTTCCGAAAGTTGTTCGAAAGTACTGTCAAATTATAACAGATATAGTTAAAACAGAATTTAATTATTCTGCGTGGACTAAGAGCTTAAATATATATATACTAAGTGAAATCTCAAATGTGAATTAAAATCCAACCTACATAGGCCGTATGAGAATAGGACTACGGACGTGCCGAGTGTAGTTTTCCCTAGTGATTCAACTAGCTGCCGTATTATTTTTGGTAAATTTTTTGATAAACTTAGAAATAGTATATTGTGTTCAACGATCACATAAATCAGCATCGTTTAATCATCTGCATTCTTCAATACAGACACCCTTAAAAAGCTTTCCTGAGGTTTTAGTACCCTTGGAGTTCCAACGCAGGACTTTTGTTAATACAGAATACACACGTTTAGTTCCAAAGCTAAATACTCTGTTTTGCATTCGAGAGCGGGTCACAGAAAATTTGCTTCCAGTAATCTTGTGTTGAATACATTGTGTCTTCAAACTAGTGAATTTCGAAAATGGAGTTTGCTGACTCACTGCTAGAATTGAATTTGTATTGTATTGAAGCAAACAAAAAGATACCGAAATCAACCGGTAGTATGCATACCCAAATATATAGTTGCATTGATATTTTGGGCGCTTTTTGCTGCGTCTTCAACGCTTTTCGGTTTTTGCTGGAGTCTGATCATTGTTTTAATCATAAAACACTCTCACTAAAAGCCGCAAACAATAAAGAAACAATAGTTGTAAGTGGACTCACAATTGTTGCCTATTTTTTTAAAGTAGTATTTGAGGCAAATTTTTTTTAAAGACTTTGTTAGCGGTGGAATTATTAAGAACCCGCATGTGCATCTCTGCTGTTTTTACACTTTCTTAGTCGTGTTCTGAAAGGCCGCACCTCAAGGTCCTGTAGTAGGCTCGAGTATGTCTAAAGAGGAAATTCCAAAATCGAAAAACCGTAGCGTCATGAGCAACAATCATGGGCAACTATGAAAGAGGGCAAGAGAAGAAACCTGAGTTCAGCCTTCGTCTATATCATCATTAGGTATGAAAGTAGGTATAATCTATATTACGCCGTTCAGTGCCCCACGACGTTCTTCTTCTGCTCTATTTGGTGAGACAGTGGTCGCCCAAATTACTTGTAAAGTCCTCTAGAAATAGACAATCTTTTTTGATGTAAACATTTGAAATATATGTATTACTATATCCATCTCACGAAACCTTCATCACACGGATTTTTATAGTTTTTTTATAGAGACTTATAGCATTGATTGTTATCAATAACCCTTCCCCAACGTCTGTCAGTAAAATACTTTTAAATTAAAATGAATGTGTAAGTGAATGATACAATGGAAAGGTAAATAAGATATCACGCATTTTTAACAAGCAATTTCACCGTTCAATATTGATCTTTTTGATTCTGCGGTTTGGCAAGTCAGAGGTGAAATAAAGGAAACTTTCTTATGCCCCTTTGTTGAGTGAAAGAGCAGATACTGCATCGAGTACTCGATTTCACGTATTTGTAAGCAACGGGATACTTGAGTTCAAAAGAGTTTGAGCCATAAATGTTTCTTGTTTTAAACGTATTGTCAGTTATTACCTCTAACTACGTCTATTACATAAGTGCATATATAGGTTGATCCTGAGCTTGCCGTCAGAATATAACTTCCGACGATATTTGAAGACTGAGTAATTCGGATCCCCGCGCCTAGTCGATCTAGGGACTCAATGGACCGCTTTCAGTCAGCGAGAGCGAGATTCTTGTGTTTCATCTAGTCCGCAGGGTCTGCCAACGTTTCCGAACTGTGTGTGTATGTGTGTGCCTGGCGTGCGCAGCATCGCGACCGGTTAGCTAAGCAGCGAGAGATAGCGCAGACAAGCAGCCGCCGAGTCAACAGCAGTCAGTATCTGTTGAGAAAGCGAACGAAGAAGTAGTCTGCTCTGTCTGATCTCTGTTATCTAAATCTGCTGAACAGTTTACCCACAATTTACCGACCCACAACTGCCCATTAACAATAAGTACGAAACTTTGTGGTTAGACGATTGTCTACGCGACGCTACGCTAGTGCGTCAAACGACGTGAGTCTCCTTGCAATCGAGCGGGAGACAACATTTGGAGAGCGGATCGGAATCCCACGAGAGGTCGAATGAACCCCCGGCAGCCTCACACCACGCGAAGCGAGGTGGGTTGATTTTCTGCTATAAAAGAAACGTGATTTGCACGCGCTCAATAGTATTTATCGGTATTTATTAACATGCGTCGAGCGTTTTCGCCTGCGTGCGAAAGCATATGAGAACGCCTGACGCACAAACTTATGCATATTAGGGTCACCGCACACACTCTAAAATGAAGGTATACTGATAATCAGCTGTATATAGAGCTATTCCCAAGGTTGAGTTTGAAGTTGTCTTCTCATGAAAATGGTAATGCCAGATGAACGTACCGCCCAATCGGACATGTGTTTCTATCCATTTCTTTGAGGAATCATTGCGAATGAACGTTGGTCGTCAAGACAGTCCTAATTTGCAGAAAGTGGAGTGGATTCTATTATGATAAGAAATTTGCGCCTAGAGACCAGGCCTGTTTGTTGTAAGTGCATGCTGAATTACCATCTGGCAGTAACAGCCACTGCGCATATTATCGAAATATGAAAAATATTTGGAAAAGGCAATAGCTCATTCATTTAATTGTTTGTAGGCATTTATTGCTGCTATTGGCATAAAGAGATGTAGGCAGTGAATGAGTGGGCAAGTGGAATCGATTCTTTAACTTGCATCCGGTTTTTATGTACTAAAGAAGTGAAAAACAGCCATCCAGTTGACTAGGCTCAACACACTGGTGCATACCTCCATTGCCACATGAATGTGGTGCTACGTTGGACAATATGCACGTCTGCAAAACAGGCAGTTTGGAGAGCTACAGCGTTGTCGGCACAAAAGTTGACCTTGAATCGAAAGACAGGCGGTCGGCGAACCGGTTTATGCGAGTAGCTGGCAACTGCCTGCCTGCTTCACTGACGGCAGAATAATTGGGGTAGAAGCAGCAGCAGGCACAAGGGCCCCTCAAGTCAAATCATGACATCTGCCCGGTCAACTGGTTGCAATCGGAAAACTTCTAGTGGCATTAATTTTTTACCATAATGCCGGGCCTAACCTTATCGACAGACGTTGTCGCCGTATACTGCAAAAAGAATACTAATAAAAACAGAAGGAATGGAAGTTGGACGAATTGCGTAAACGAATGCCGAAGATATATAAAAGGAACGGTGTCTGCATTTTAAAAAACAATTTCGGTTCAGACTGCTAGATCATCATTAAATAGCCTAAGTTAAAAAGCACTTAACAACTAGACTAGAATTATTTCTATTAAACAGAGCATCGATCAAATCTATCATCAGTCGTTCAGAGAAGATCTATTAGCGGCTTAAAAAATCTCTAAATAATGAGATGTTTATTAAAATGTCTTCTAGTAGCCGTGTTTCCTCATTAATTAAATAACTGAGAAAAGTCAAACATAGTATGCTCATAATTTCACTATTAAGTGCCGTAACACCATATTGCACAAATAGGTTCTTAGTATCGGTAAATTTGATAATTTTTGCTGTGGTGATAAATAAATTAAATTTGACCTATAGTCAAATTGGGTATTACTTATACTTGTATATATATAGAAAATTGACTGAGACTACGGGTCGGACGATTCCGCATCCACCCGAATATATCCTGCACCTTTGAGTGTAATCTCACTGTGTTCTGTGTCTTATCAGATATCCTTAAGGTCCCTGCGGCCGTACTTCAATCAGAAAGCTTTTCTTATAGGAACAAAGGGCTTATCGCAACACAGAACATTTTTACCGTGCAAGCGCTCATAATTGCATGAAAGAATTGTCTAAGGACGATGAAAATGGGAAAACTGTCATTGATTATCGTTAGTTGTTACCAGAAAAAATGAACATTGATTTTTGTTAAACAACTGCTTGCATCTATTATACAAAATGATCGTCATATGTCAATTGTATATTTAATTGTATTCATTTAAATTATATAACAATTATAATAACATATTATTTTAAGTACGTACATGCATATCAGCTCTCACATAGGGTTAGAGCCATGCAGCACATCTTATCAATAGGACATAATCGCTTGTGGCTCATCCATTAGATTAATGAGATTTAAACTACCTCGCCTCATTTTGGCAATTACGAATTAATCGATATGAATGAGATGAGTGTGGTGACACAGCGGGACAACTGTAAATACCAACAACATTATTATTAAAACTAGAAATAGCTCAATTTCTCCTATTTATAAGTGCCAATATTGTAGGTAGTTACAGTCAAGTTGATTCCTAGAATGCCTAACAACAGCGGTACGGCGTACAGTGGTAAGAACAAGTAAAGAATAAGACTAAAGTTAACGCAGTAAGTTGTTGCGTGCCCTTGTTACTGTTGTTTTTGAAACGCTCACTCCTATCTGCTATTATTAGGCCCGCAGTGCACTGCTGTTCTCCCTTCTTCGGTACCCTTCCGAGGAAGTGTCCCCGGTATTTGTTTCTTCCGAACGCTTAGCAGTCAGGCCAGTAGTACGCTGTCGCGCGCTTCGCTATATTCAGCCGCCGGGCAGCTGGAAAAGCAGCTCGTTCGGCTGCGGCTGCAGCGATATCAACGCCTGCGATTGCAACGACTGCGAAGGAGAGTGCAGTCATCGGAAAAGCGCCGCTCTCGAAAATCTGGAAGTTCTCGAAACGAATCCTGTGTGTGAAGGTAACTATAATATAATGTTATATTGTAATATTGTACTATTCTATTACTGTCACAGAGTGAGGCAGCGTACTAGAAAAGCTACTGTTAAAGAGAATGCAACTGCAGTAATAATTCTTTAAAAACACAATTCACAAGACGCGTGCATGCACTGTATAGTATCGCAATCTTACTAACGCACCCTTAAACGTCTCTTTAAAGGAAAACTCTTTTAGTTCTATGCATAAAGAACGTATTTATGGCACTTCGTGCGGCTTAAGGTTCAAATGTATGTTATGAAAAAAGACGTTTTGTGAAATAATGAAAAATGACATAATCGAAAAAAAAAGTATAGATTGGAGGGACATACAGCGATGGTGGACAATCTCGGAGAAGCTGCGATGCCTTAAAAGAGCAATTTGTTTCGTTTAATGTTGCGATTTCATGGCGGCGACAGTATTCCAGATGCATGAAACAGGAGAGACAAACACGAAAATGCCTGATTTCTACTTTCCTTTAAATGCCTTTCGAGAAACAAACCCAAAGGTCATCAGGGAGTTCTTTGAAACGTTTATGTCAGATTAATGTGGGCATGACTCACCCATGCTCCGAGTGAGTTCTGGGCAGAGAATATCAATTACGCATCGGAACGTCCAAAAGTGGAGACTTTTCAATAATTCCTATAGACGGAATGGTTAAACATCGACTGCTAGATCCGATCTGTATGATTCTCACATTCCAACAATGAACGAACCCTTTTACGTCTTTTAACAACGTCTAATCGTTTTCAAAAAGCAATTGAATATAGCCTAAAGTATCCAAATACTACGATGGAACTAGCTTAATCAGCAGCTGGGACGTTTCGAAGCCTTTCTCGTTAGTTTTTCCTTGTACGGAACCGACTACATAATGGTAAACAGACTTTAGGCGTATGTTATGCTCTGGTTTCAAAATGCAGTTGTATTAAAATTGGTTAGCAACAACCATATTTGAAACGATAAGCCGTTCAATGGCAAACATGTGATTCGTAATAAGTGTTTCTCTTCACTCTTTTTGTCAAACCTTTTCGTAATATAAGCGACGCTTTTTATGCATGATAGAGATATATGATTTAAACAAAATAGACTGACTAGATAATCATGTTAAACATTGTTGACATCAGGCCATACATTCTAACCATGTGTTTGCTTTAAGTTAAACAGAGAAATCGTGCATTGTGGACAATTTTTCCTTTAATGTTCAGGTAATTAATCCTCGAACAATTGATTGCTCACGTATTTTGATTAGAAGGCACTGATGACCGCGTTGGTGGCACTGACTAAATAGAGACGCCTTGAGTATCGCGTCAACTCAGTACTTACACGACCTCGACTTGCTGTTTTTAGCTGAGAGTCAGTTTACGATACAGCCATCCAACGACTGCTAGGCTCTGTGTCACTTTCATAAGCAGGTCATTCGCTTGTTATCGGTTAAATCGGCAATACGTGATCTATTGACTAAGATCACTCAGATTTAGGGTCAGTAACGGTTTGCACCAGCCATCTCGAGAGTCTGTCAATCCAGGTGTTGACACGTATTGTACAATATAAATGCCATAATTTACGCAGGCTGCCTTAGAGGGTGCCCACAGTTTGTCACGTCCGTACGATCTTGTTAGCGAGCTTTCTTTTTTGAAAAACATCATCCGTTTTTTGTTAGCGAATTCATTCACCACGTCTAGAGTGTAAGGAAGGATCGTGGCATCGATACAAGTGTGGCAAACCGGTCGCTGATTTCTTGTTAATATTATTGGATATCGTTATTTATTGTCTCTAGTATGCACATTATTATTGAATGTGCTCTGAATCGCTTTCTCGTTGTTGGTATTCTACTATAATTAATGCAATGATAATAACTACCTTTAGAGTGGAGTTAAGGAGAAAGTACAAAGTGTAGCAGGTAAAAGCAATAGTGAGCGGCATAGATGTAAAGACTGAAGATGTTCCGTTTCCATAATCACCATGTAGTATAATTATGCGTGCTTGTCACGTGCTGCCGGTGGCAGCCCACTGTGCTTCTCTGCTTATTGGTTCCGGTAGCTGCATTGGACGACATTTGACCGGAGTTTTATGTAGTATCGGCGTGTACAAGAAGCCACTGGCTAGTCGCCACGTGAAGGCTGCGCGCACGGTCCTTATAGCACGAGCCACTGCTATCCGTTCAATCGAGGGTTTCTCAGACTCTTTTTTTTCGTCTACTGAGCCCTGTTGGCAATCAGTTTCTAATGTTTATTGTTTATACTCATTCTATTCTGATAACCGGTACTGCGACCGTGCTGCATTGCAGATCTTCAAGCAGAAACAGCGCGCTTTGCCAAATGACATCCGCTTGCCCATAGGTAAAAATCGTATCTCGATGTGTTTGGGTCACTATCGCCGTTGCCCCAATTTCTTATTTGCTACTCTCTACGCAAGTTGCCGAAGCAAATTGTGTGTAATGCTGCAGCTATTATTTGAGCTTGCAACTAAAGGCTGTGCCTGTATGATCCATTCAGTGTATAATATAATAATAGGCAGCCATATTTAGGTCTTGGCTCCGCGGAGAGAACAAGCAAAAGGAAATTTTAGCAAATACAAGAATGAAATAGTCCTCACATTGAAAAAATACCTGAGCTAAGCAAGGTAAAAAGAAATGAGAACTAGTTGTTCGATGGAGAAAGGAACTCGACGGTGCTGCTTATGACGAATAGGACCAAGTTTCAGGCGGACAATAACGGTGTTTCATAGAATGGCAGCATTACCATTACAATTATTAAATGCAGTAAGTTTTTTCAAACTAAATGTAGCATTGAAAAAGAAAATATTAGCATGAAGAGTGTTCATCTAAGCAGCTTTCACACGATCAAGCCTAAAAAGATCAAAGCATTAAGGCGACTCCCTCGTGAGTTTCGCTGAATGCGGGTAGTTTTATACAATATGCGGTAATTGGCGAGTGTGCTTTAGATCTTAGGGGCGCCAAGCCTCCTGGACTGAATGGTACAAGTAACGCGCATCTGCTGACAGTAATTTTCTGATTAAAAATAGTTACTTCACTGTATGTTATCGGGTAGTGCCAAACTTCTATATTTCATGCTAATGCGCACTAATCAAAATTGTTCACTTGTTCTGACAAAGGGACTACGAGTTCACCTAGGCCATTATTACAGTTAACTGAAAATCACTATTTCAATGAAACGCTAATTTGAAACCAAACGTAACATTTGGCATTCGACTGCCATTACAATTTCATGTCTAAGATACGTACGAATGATCAGTATCTAATTAAACTTTTTAGTTAGCTCTGTTATTGATCTCGATATATTTTATTATTAATTTATTATTTGAACCACAATCATGGCAATCATTATTAGCATTTTTCTTTGTAGTTATTATATTAAGATTGATAACACTCTTACGTATGGATCATTATTTTGTGTTACTAATATTAAGGTCGTTATCAAAATCTCTGTTCGGCACCGAAACTGGGCGCCGTTGCAAATTTCGTCGGTGATCGTTTCGGTAAATAAAATGGTGATATAGTGGGTTAATACGGCATCGTTATGTAACGGTTTCCGTATCGGCTCTTGAATGCGAACCGTCCCGCAATGAACAAAACAGCAACGGTGACAACGAATACAGGTAGATAAAAAATTAAAATATACAGCGCAAACAGCTGCCACATTTAATGCCTATTGATAGATTTGAGTGGTTCCCGCTGTGACCAGTTTTAGTCGTGTTGATTATGCGTTCACACAATGAAATTTGGCGAGCAACCAAAGTCAAGTTACAAAGAATTACAAAAATTTACTGTAACGTAGTTAGCACTTTCCTAAGTGGCTGCTACTTAGTTTTGTCAGTATTAGCTAACTATACTTATATTAGGCGTTTAAAGTAATAGTTGCAACTCCAAAAAGTGAACAATGGCTAACTTTGCCGTGTGATAAATATCAGGGCGAAAAACAAATACCAAGTATTAGTGAATTTAAAGTCTAATAATCGTGCCTCAGTACTGTTACCTAGATGTATTGTTGTATATGCAATGAAGTAACCAGACGTACGCTGATTAAATTTACAGCAACTAAACAAAAATCTAGTTTCATCGAAATGGCCATTCTGGTCAGACCCGGAGTACATCGAACCAAAGAGATATACTCTTGTGAGGCTATTTCGACGTGCCAGCAAAACTACATATGTCCTTCTAATGGCCACAGTGATCTATTGAGCAAGCAGAATGAGATAGAAACCCACCGATATTGAATCAACTAAAATACGTTATTCAGATGTCGGCTGGAATTAAATCTGTTGTGCCACGCTAGAAGGACTGGTTACCGATATCCAAGTTAGAACTACCAACGGAATGCTGGTCCGGTATAAGGCATTGATTAAAATATTTCTGTCTTTACATGGCATAAACACGTCCTTTCTGTGCACTGTTACTATTCTATTAACATCCCGCGCGTTTATAGAAAAGACCTCCATAGTTTGAAATCGCCATTGGTAGATTTTACATTAGCGACAGCACGTGGGGTGATTAGAATACAAAAACTATTACTATTATTATAACACGCGTTGTTACCTTGGCAGTAGTATTTGTATGTAACTGGGCAGGACCTGAAAACACGCGGTGTTTGTGTCTAACAAGTACACAGAAATTATTAGGCTGTTGTAACATCGCAGATGGTATAATTTTTGATAACTTCTTCTTGTTTGACGAGCACACAGTAGCTGCATGTGGCACTCCACGTGTGCCATACGTATATAACGGCCGCCAAGAAGAAGCGTCGTTAGAATATTCGAACATTTATGATAGTGCTTTTGCCAATGGCGCGATGGGTTTTTGTCATAAAGCCCTAAAAAACAAGCTTGGAGGTCGTTTCTGTCAGACAGTCTATCAAAGCCAAAAAATGTTTCGTTATATTAAATGCACTTGTTTGATTTTCATTAGTTTTAGAAGTGACTTCACAGCACTTATTTTTATAAGTGCTGTGAAGTCACTTCTTTTATTTTTTTACTTTAAAAATGCAAGTAAATGCCAGGCTCCCAAATATAATTTATTAACGTTCCTATGTTTAACAAACAAGTCCTGACTATATCGTTAATATTTTGTCCCATGTTTATTATTAGCCGTATCTTAGAAGTTAGGTGTAGTCTAAATAAGTCAGCCGGTAGTCTGTAGCTTTGTGATACTGAAATTCTAGATATGGACAGGGGAAGGTACTTATGTGATCCATGATGCTGTAGACACTCACATGGTCACGCCTTTAAAAGTGGCTGACTGATTCAAAGTCGTTATCCTTTTCATTAGTTAACAATGATTTTTTTTATAGGTACAGTTCAAGATTCCTTAACAATACACTTATTATTAACCAAGTATGGAATCTGCTATCGTTTATTAGTGTCATGGTCGTCACACTACAATCCTTATTCTAAATGCTAGATACATCGTAATTTGTGTATTACTTAACCACCACGTGCCCATGTGCCTACTTGATTCTTCCAAATCAAAGAAAACTACGAGGCCAGACTTTTCGAATGTTGAAGAAGGTCATTCGCGTTTTAAGGACTCTAATGCCTGCGTAATATATAAACTCGCCAGCGGCGTGCACTATATAGACCACAAACAATTGCGAACGTGTTAAATCTACACACAGTTTTGGGTGGGAAATGGTCACCTTGAACGACGCGAACAGAGAGAGCGTGTTTGCTTATTGATAATTCGCTGTGTTTATGTCGTGGACGGATTTAAAAGGATTATCGGCGTGATTAAATTGAGTACTCTACTTCCTCTTCTCACCATTTAGCCTTCGTCACATGATTCACCTCACGGCTCACGACAGCAAGTAGAAACTATGGCGACATCCGTGTAGCCGAAAAGTGCTTGAAAACATTAAACTATTATAGTTCTCAACTGAATTTAGTGATTAATTTTATTATGACCATCACATATTTTGCTATTACTAAAACTGCTTGATATCGCTTTTTTCGACAGATCTTTCTTAATGTGTTAACAAATCGCTTTACGCAACGCGGAGTCTTACTGTTGCATCAAGCATATTTTATTGTTCTAGGGTAGATGGTCAAGGACTAGTTTAAGTTACTTGAAAATAAGCAACAATCTCACATTATGCACTATTACAGAATATGAATATTTCTCGAAGTTTCATTTGATCATTATGGACGTTTGTCGGAGTGAGGACATTGTGCTCAGTGCAACAACAAATGAAAGTCTTAAACATTTGACCAGGATGTATACAGATCAACAGTGATAATACAGGCGATAAACCTAATACGATTATTCGATACAAAGCAAAAAAATTTCTTTCTTTAGAGAGTAGAAAGGGTACGGAAGATATTCTATAGCCTTTATGCTTGCTTCCGTGCATCCGTCCATAACTCGGCTCTGAAAATTTGAACATGCGCTAGTGTGACCGCGAACACTATCATAATTTTCAAACGATTGTTGCATCTAGTCCACAATCGTTGCTGTTTTCCTTGTTGTAATCTATTATCCCTCCCTATCGACGTCTGTTGATACGTCTAACTGTATCACTACATGCTCGCGGGTGAGGCTTGTCTTTCGCTTATGTTTTAGACTGTATAAGACGTGTTTGTAGATTATGGCCGCTCTATGAGAGAAATTATTTAGGGACAGTTTCTGCTCCATCGCCATTATATACACGTTCGGGTAAGTTCGAAGCCTTATGTGCGTAGTGATGGTGTGGAGCTCATGCTGTGGCCGGTTGGTACTGCAGTCGCTTCTGCTGTTTCTGCCGTTGCAGCGATGTCTGGAGGTAGTAGTTTCCTTACCGGTTACAGATCTCGGATTGCCGGTTGTTATTTTTTGTTTCTGTGGCCTTAAGCCAGCGGCGTGGCGCTATAATTGCTGCTACCACGCTACTTCGGAACGAGACATTTCGTGCCGCACTTGCAAAGCCCTCGACGATGCTTTGTGAGCCTGGCAAGTAAGGTCTGGCTATTCGTGATCACGTCTGGTACAATGGAAATGGTAGCAACGACAACAGCGACAAGCGGCAATAAAAGCCGCAACTCATCGACACCAGCCGAACGGCAGGTAGACCTAACAGCTATAACGCCAATGACTAAACTATGTCGTAAATATCGGTCGCTAATTTATCCACTTACCATAGTCAATCTTTACGTCTCGCTCGCTTACGTTTGCTCGCTACTGTCCAAATTGTGCACTTCTCCGTTACTCTTTCATGTCCACAAAGCATATGCCGCTATCTTATATACTTTTTCCCTTTGACAATTCAGCTTGACAAGCTTTGTAATTTAGTAGGCAAGATCTCATTGTTCCCGCTTAGGAAGCCACCAATTAACCTTCTTGCAGAAGCAATTCGAATCGGAATAATCACCTGCCGGTGATGAGTCTAATGCGCTGATTTACAGCACGGCATTGATTGCTGTTAATTTGCCGTCGGTACCTCTCGTTCTAGCCAGTATCTGGTTCCCCTTATCATCGCAATTCACTGATAATAATACTGTTAAGTTATCTACGCATATAGCTTATACATGCATCTAATGCTACAAACACATGCGCTTGTACTCATGACAGTTTGTTAGCGGAGTCACCGGTAAGAAGTATCGCTTGGACTGCAACTATTGATTATTGCGGTGCAGCCAGATTCATAGCAGATGGTAGTAACAGATAAATAAAAAGAGAAGGAAGCTTGTGGGGTTCTTTACCAAAAAATCCAATCAACTTCTCACTGCCGGCGAAGAATGTTCAGATGCGTCGACATAGCGGCTGTAGTCACGATTAGCCGCCCGCGAGATAGACACGTGTTTAGCTATCGACCAATCTAAAGAAGTTCTGAAAACTTTCTAAAAAGCTCCCACCTCTGCTAAATTCAATTATCCCTGTAATAGGTAAATCGAACTTTAGGTTATGAAGACAGGACCAGCAGCAGGCAGGTAGGAAAAGTGCCCGTTAGAAAGTGGTGGTTCCCTTGATAGCTTAGTGGTTAACGTATCTGCCTGTTAATCTTAGGAACATGTAGTCTGGACTCGGGTCCGGGCGTGTACACACAGTTAGTTCGTTTTGTGCTGGGAGTCAGCCGTCTGATGCAGCGCCTAGCAGCTATACCGGAGGTACAACTCGAAACACAGAGGAATTGATTGGCTTAAAACGTTTCTGAATGAATTACGATAGAGCCGACCACAGCTTAGATATAAGGGACATATCCATGTTGTGTATATATGTTCGAATGTATATCAACAGACCGGTCATATTCAATAGAAAGAGCCAAAAAGTATGTCCATTGTTATTACATTACCGCGTCATTTTTCATCCGGGATTATTTTTCTGTTGACATTTACATATCAACAACAACAAAATACATAAATTCTAATGGTTTCGATGAAGTTTATTGAATACTTTAGCTGGAACATAACGAAGCAAAGCACTGCTACCATAACGTGAGGCTTCCATCTATAGGACACGTTCCTCCGCTCGAGCTTTGAAGAGAAAGTTTACAATTACCGACGTTGCCGTTATGGGTGTCCCTGCCAACGAATAATAGGAAAGTTATTTTAGCAAGATACGAGTTCATATTACCTATTCAGTTGCCATTCCTGAGAAATTGATAAATTTATTATTTCAAATGGATCCAATGTGCTGCTCCTGACCGGACGTTTTAAATCGTCCTGTCTTCATTACACCTGATCAACGAAGCTTATAATTCTAATTTATGTAATTTCTGTTAACCATGTTGCAAAAATCTCGGCATAAACGCAAAACCATACATCTAATAAACCTCTTCCGGTTTTTCGCTCGAATCCGGACGATTTATGCTGTAAGCTAATTAATATCCTTAGATTCAGTCAATAATGCAACCTGAAATATTTAAAAGTGCATGATATTTCAAAAGATAAATTCAAGGTTAACACATGTACAACTGCACAGCAATGAGAGGCACTTAGGTAATATATATATATAATAATGCTTCAAGGGAAATATTCCGTATATAAATAGGACATCTACGGAATATTAAAAAATATAACATACATTGATTCTTAACATTAGAAACAATGAAATAGCGATTTTTCTGGAGTGTGTATTTAGCATTGGCTGGGCCGCTTGCTGGGGTGTTGATTTGAAAAATCGATCCTGCCAAGGTACTCGTTCAATACGAGCACGTCAATTCGCTCGTCAATACCAGCAGAGATTTGATTAAAACTGTAGTTTACCATACATCATAAGTATGGAAATTAGTCACTTATCGATATTTCGCTCTTTGACATCTTCTGCTATTCGGAATGAAGTCGCACGCTTTCCTCAACAATCGAGCAATACCTGTACTAGTAAAACCAGCGACAGTCGTTGTCCATTACATTGAGTAATACTTGGCCCAGTATGCGACGTTGATCGCAGCTATTGGTGATACTGCTTCATTTGCTGATATCACTTCTACCAGTGCAGTTATTGAAAATATCGAAAGAAGTCAACGACCTCTAACATATTCAATGTCTCATACGACTTATGCCGTTGTCCGTGGATGAGGGCTCGCGGTCATACTAATTAGATTTGACAAGCCGCTAATGGATTAATATTAAATAAATACTTAAAAAAGTTCATAAACAGAAGCATTTATAGAATTACCATCATACCGAAAATGCTGTGCAACGTTTGAGTAAAGATCATAATGACTTTTCAAATGCATACGCGCCGCCGAAGTCGAACCGATAAATTGCCGTTGTAATAAAATGACGTTGCAGACAAATCACTAAGTTAACTGCAAATAACTTAATTAACTAGAGGCTTATGGTGTCAAAACTGTAGAGATTTTAGCCACTTGAAAAGCTCTATCTCAACATTCATATTGTAACGCGTGCCCAGTATGAAAACACCGTTTTAGGTTAGAGTTGTCTTCACATCGTTGTAATTCAATCGGCCAGTAATTGAAGCATGCGGATCTGGCCAGCTTTTTGGATTTGATCTCGTCAATAATAATTAAGTTCAGTAAACTTAGAACTGGGTACTATTTTTTTCCATTACGAAGCTGATGAACTTGTATATTGTTGCGGGACATTTAACTGCTGATATCGATGATACCGCACTAATTAATAATGTTTAAATCTGTCTGACATCATTTTATGTCATTCATTTTTGCAGTCCATTGGCACAATAGCTATTCTCCGACTGCCTTAGAGTTATAGACTCGAAGTGGCCAGTAATATCATTTATTCAATTACTGGAACTTAAAACCATTGGAAAGGATTGAAATTGATGAACGCTATTTTTCCAGTGGCATTTTAATGATTTCTATGTTTGCTATTGTAAGTTTCAAGTGTTTATCTCGTATACAAGACCTTCCTAGTTAAAAAAAGCCATTTTATTTTTGTCGAAATTAGCTGCAACTGCTTCATTGCTTTATTCGGTTGTCACAATGACCCCGTAGAAACCAAGCGTTGTTGTGTATTGGTTTTTTCCGTGATTTGGTTAAGATGTTCGTCATAACTCCCAGCTACGTTTACCCAGTTCAAAATAATCTTCAAAGGGAATTAGGTATCAGGTGAACGATTACTATGATTCAAGACAGACATTAGACAAACAACACGATACAGGTTTTGGTGCGGAAGAAATAATATATAGTAGTTAATTCGAAATGCAATGTTAGAAGAGGAAACGGATCTTAATTGCTAACGCACATCTTTGCACGCATTGCCGTTGTAACCATAAATAAAAAGCACCCAGTTCGTCATTGCTGATTTAAATTCTCTATGTCGGCAAATAATGCTAAAACGTATATGAAAACGTAAAAACAAGTGATTAACTTGTCATCTAGCCTGTTGTGGAGACCTGGCAAATCAAGCAGGACCCGCCAAAAGCTAGAAGAATAGGTGAGGTTCAGTTACGAAGTAACATCAATATTCGATAATCATTCACTAATTCAACCCATATATGTACATGCCAATTAGAGTAAAGGACCTGCTCTTTAGGAATCAAAAGTAGACTTGTGGCTAAGTAAAACATATATCTGTAACACCTCTTTCAGGTGTAGCCGTAAAGGACTTTTTTATACTCTATGTTGTTTTTTGAATAATCCATGGGATAAGGATATTCATGGGCTTCAAAATGTGTTAAATCATTTCTGTCTGATCTGAAAGTCGCCTATAAACCTATAAAACTATAAATGTTTAATACCCAGGTGTTCTTTGTATTGACACGTACTGCAATATTCGCTTTACACCGGTTCCAGATAAATAATTTATATAATTAACGCCATGTCAGTGTTTTCACAAGTATACCTAATAATAATGACTGTTTTAATCAAATATTCGACAAGCTTAAGACAATTACGGGAAACAGAGGACGATTATAATAAAGTTGTCTCTCTAGCAAGCAAGTTGAAAAGCGGAACTTGTTACCATATAAACCTTAACAAATAAATCCGATTAACCATAGAAAAAAGAAGACAAACGTTTTTTTCTAGCATTTTAAGTAAGCAATACAACCATTTTACTAGAGTTTTGTCAACAAGAAGGCATTGTGTTCTACCGTATATATTAGCCTTATCGGTGGTACAAAATGACGATCTAACAGTTTCACATGTCTTACATTCAGTTTGCAATTTAAGGGTTATAACCTGTTACCTGATTGTATCTGTGAGGCAGTAGTGTCACAAAGTGAAAATTCTCCTCTTTGTCCATAGTTCTCACTGGGCCTAAGGAGACAAACAACGCGCTATCGCCAGGGCCTGCTACTGTGTCGGGGCCTCTTCTCATACTGAAAGCGCAAGGACCACAATGGAATTAGTCAGCGATTAGCGGCACTGTGTTCAAAATTCGTCTCTTGCGCATTCTTATGTGTGTCAGGGTGTCGGAATTGCTAGCATGCGCGTAGCACTTGGCAGGAGAGTCTCTGATTAGGGGTCTGAAGTCAACAACAGTGCATAGAAAAGAAGTCTGCCTGCTGACGAAATGTCGGGCTATGTAGGGACAAGCGGTTTCGTTCGTTTGAATATAGTGCATTGCGTATCGAAGCAGTGCTTGGACGAGAATGATATTTTACTGCAAAAGCATATTCCGGTTGTTGTTCACTTGAAGTATTGTTGTCAACATGGGCTTTAGGGATAGAACCTTAAACTAAATGGGTCTCTCTAGCTGCGCCCGTGAATTTAACCAAATATCCAACGGTAATGGCATTCGACATGAACTTGTTAGGAAGGAATAGAGTTTCATAGATCGAAACTCTATTCCTTCCTAACAAATTATTTACTGTAAGACATAAAACTCAATACTTCCAAATTACGTCGTTTTAAAACGGTACGAAATTTCGCGGTATTTGTCTTGTTGCATTCAAGACCTGCACTCTTTGCAGTTTGAAGCCATTCACTCGAATATCGTCACTCGCGCGCTCAGCGGACGAGTTGTAGCGAGCTATGGAAAATCAGAATATTCGAGTGGTCAACAAAGACAAGTTCCAATGTAGAACTGTAGCAGCGGAGATAGCTGGGAGCATAAGACCTTGTATTCCTCTACTGTTACAAACAACATGAGCTGCTGGCCTAAACGATTCCGGAAACGAAATGTTGAACTCGGAAATTAGCCTGGAGAAAGTAAGCGACTTGTAACCTTCGATAAAAAACGGATGCTCTACGATAATTTCGGACGGTCACATCAACTGGTAGACGCGATTGAACCGGCAGGGCATTACTCTACAGCGAATACACAATTGCAAAAGTGTATGGCGTCTGTTTGATGGTATAGTTCAGATATCATCCATTAGAGCTTCGTGAGTCCCGGTTGTCGATTAGAGCTGAAATGTACAACTGGAAAATATTAGTGAACAAACATAAATTATTTTATTGCGCAGCAATCTTCGACCTAACACCGCAATGATCACCACGTCAATGTACGCAGGATGTACGCTACGGTACCGCTATTATAACACCATATTTGGCAGACATTGCTTCTCAATAAATTGTTCTAATTTCAGCATAATTTCGAGATGACATTTTGCTATCTTATATTGTCCTAAGTTAGACTTCTGCAGTAGTAGAGTTCATAGATGCACTTAAATGGCAAAAGAATGGTAAATACTTTGACAAAAAATAAAAAAAAATAAAGTTTTCCAACTAGGTCTCGCATTTGTAAATTGCGCACGTTATTAGCTGTGCCTAGAAGAGATATATTTCATGAAATATTAATACATGAGTGCACACATGTAAAGATATGATTCTGTATACAGATTTATATAGACATGTATTATTGGCGGTGTACTTGTTTGTCGTTAGTAAAATTAAACCCTCAACAAATAGCGAAAAGTTAACTATTTTTTAAACTGGCTGACCATCAAACCCAACTCCTTTCTGTAGGCCTGGCCGATGCCTTGTTCTAACAAGCCTTTAACTGCGTGTATGTATTCACGCACTTAAAGGCTTGTTCACGCAAATAATTCCATAATATAGGGTTTTACTTGTTTATTCAACTAGCTTTCGCTTGGAAGCAGTATTTCTATATACTCCATGGAATAGCGATAACGTGCTAGTGCAATTTTCAAAAAGCGCGCTTGTCTACTAATCAGGCATGTCACTGAGGCGCCTTGTTGGCTTGAACAACCATTATAGGCATGGTTTGCTGTTACGCGCCATTGCGCGTTGTTAATCCTTAAGAGTAGCTCAACACATCATAGATAAAAAGATCTAAGCTAAAAAATGCTGTAAAAAAAGAATGAGTAGCGATTAAACGTTAACTTGAAGGCTACAACTTATACACCAGTGATACTTGTTGAATCTAATGCGTGTTTTCCAGGCGAGTGGCCGGCGAAAGGGGTATATCCTTTTTGGGAAGAGTAAGCTAACAACGTAGCACTGTATTCACCGGCTTAAGTTCGGAAGAAAAGACGATAAATAGGTTAAGAGCGAAGCTGTCGTTGCAAGCTGTCGCTACGAAAAAATAGTCAAGGCGGACAAATAGCACCAAAGAAGATGCTGAAGGAGGATGAAGATCCGGCCAACGACAAGGCTTGTGTAGGCCCCCCTCCGAGTGACGACGATGAGTGGGAGCTACTAATCGAACCACTCGAACCAGTCGATATCGTACATAATAATGGATACGAGCAGGATGATGGTATGATTTTGTTACACTAAACTATTCCACGCGTGGATTCACCGCTGTAATACCATCTTGTGCTCAAAAACGGAAACCACAAAAACTAAGTTCGAATTGAGATATGGGCACAGCAGCCTAATTGCTGACATCGTCGCTGCTCGCGTCCTATAATTGCGTTTCCGTAGGTGTAGATCAGTCAATAATATTTCTATACGTGTTTACTAAATTCGAAAACAAATCAAATCAGTACGTGTGCGTATCTTTGCCGTTTATCTTTGGTTTTGCCACTTTTCAGAAGTGGAAACACGAGTCCTTAAAGAGTCGCGCGTATTCTCTGTTGCTATGGATATCCCACGAAAACGCAAGAAAGATGATGAACGTGGTCAATCTCTGGCCTGTGTGAAAGCACAGATTTCGGCCATTAACCGCTGGCAGCAGGCTGCAAAGAAGGCACTACGCATGGAAGATCCATTTGGCAAGTTTCATCTTGAGAAATGCGAAGCTGAACGCGTACTGCGATCTCGTTATAATCCTCTCAAGGACGAATGGGTTAAGGACGAGATACTCATAAAGATGGCGAAAGAGCCATTTGGACGTGGGGCCATGCGAGAATGCTTTCGCCTCAAAAGGATGCGCCCTACGCAAATCAACCATACAGTGTCTACGAACTACGTGGCAAAACGATACCTCAATCCCGTGGATCGATCTGTGTATATGGAGGATGTTAAGCTCCAGATGTACTCCAAATTGTGGGGTGAAGAGTTTAATAGGTACAATCCACCGAAAAAAGTGGATTTCTGCCAAATGAGTATGATCGAGTTTTTGGACCGACCCGGCAAGCCCATTTATCATCTTGAACATTTTATAGAAGGAAAGTACATTAAGTACAATTCCAATTCTGGCTTCATACAATGCGAAAACGTTCGATTCACACCGCAGGCGTTTTCGCATTTCACGTTCGAAAAGTCTGGACATGAACAAATCGTTGTTGATATTCAAGGCGTTGGAGACCTTTATACCGATCCTCAGATCCATACTTGTGACGGAACCGACTTCAACGAAGGAAATCTTGGCGTAAAAGGCATGGCACTGTTTTTTCAGTCCCATATCTGCAACCCTATCTGTGAGAGCCTGAAATTAACACCATTTGATCTAGATTTAACCGAAAAGTCAGTTTCAGATGTGCGCAAGATGTCTCAAGGCGGTGAGACGTGCGTGCGTCAGCTGGCATCCTCAAACTGTGGCGTCTCTCCTGTGAATTCTCCGACAACTATGACTAGCTTTCTTGAGTGGCAGTACATGAAACAGGGAGTTCGTGTGCGCACATATAGTTCGCCAGTTGATTTGCAACTTGTCCGTGCTCGCACATTAAGCTTGGGTGGGAGACGTCGCCAGGACTCCCAAAGTCAGGATAGCAAGACACCTTCGCCACCTGCGCACCTCGAACATCCGTTTCCCTCAACCAACAGCACCTTCGATTCCCAAGGGTACGAGCGCTCCCTAAGTTCAGAAAGTGAAGAGGCTCTTGATGTAGACGTGGACATTGATTCCGTCTTAGATAGCCTCGGCTTCAGTGAGGATGACGACGGCCCTCGTACATCACGCAACAATGGGGGACGCGTCCGCTGCGATTCTGAGTGCAGCTTTCTGGGGGATACCGAAAGTGATAAGCTTGAGTTTCAACAACAAGTACAACAGAAGGCGCAACCATCAAGTGTAGCACATGAGATTGAGTTTCGCAACAGGGCGTTTGAACAATCAGGAGGCCAATTGCCGCCCAGCATTTTAGGACGTATTCACATCGAACTAGCACGGTACTACGAAAATGGTCGGTTCAGTTCGGAGGATGATCCGCTTTCGTACAATAAAGAAGCAGCTTTGTTTCATGTTGATATGGCAGCGCAGTGCGGTAATCTCGAAGGATTATTAACCTTAGCTAAAATGTATCAGGGAGTCCCCCATGACCTCCTTGAAGATGTGGAGCTGCCGGAAGACAAAGAGCGAGCTGCGAAGTATCTTCGCTTAGCTGCGGCTGCTGGCGATCGCGTGTGTATGATAGAACTGGCAAAGAACCTTGATGAGGAAAAGAATTGGTGCGAGGCTGTCGAATGGTATCAACTGGCGGTGCAGTCAGCTGAATTTGACGAAGGTGGGGAGTTCGATTGCCAGAGCATGCAAGAACCCGCCTATATATTGATGGCCCGTCTCGCCAGTATATACGCGGTCGGTGAGTACACTGCAATGCATATGTTTTCAAAGGATTTAAAGGCTAAAAATGCCTCGTTGCATTCGTATCTTTTTTTTTTTTAAATTAAGAACCACCTCTTGATTTCATTTGGTCTAAATATTTTATACTTGCTTATGTTTTAAAATAATGCAGACACTATTCATGTTCTATTTCATGTTTAAATTTGAAAGATCGTTACTTCTCACTAATGACGGTTTGAATGAATCCCTACAATATCCAACTACCTTGAAGCGCGTTTGTGGTTTTTAAAAAGCCTACATTTGCAATAAAATTGTATTTTTTGTGGGTCGTTGTAGGAGGAAACGGTTTGAAGCAGGATAAAGAAAGAGCTTACGAACTGTACCAGAATGCCGCTGAGGCGGCCATGGCAGCCACAAAAGGACGACTGGCTAACAAATACTACGAACTCGCGGAGAGCCTTTAAAAAGCTGTACGAAAAATTCAGATCTTGGCAAATCCAGTGTGCGCCTACGACTACCGCATATAGAAGCGAATATAATTTGTTTTTAAGAATATTGCACGTTGTCATTAAGAGCAGGGTCTCCGATTCTAGGACTAAGCCACAAGAACCTGTTCGAATATGGATAAATCCAGAGGTTCCAATAACCTCTTCTGATGAGAGCCGATTTTAAACAACAAATAATAAGTACCGTATACGATGAGTATAACAAAAGGTGATCGAAGTCAGATGAAAGATCTATTATGTAATCAGCGAGGTCTTTTCTCAGTGTGCTGCGTGCAATTTTCCATCATAAAAGTTCAAAACATCAATATTCAGCATACAAAAATAAAAAAAACGCAAACATGGTATGCAAGATGCCCCAACGCTAAAAATCCAACCAGTCTATATAACCTGTGTAATTATTTATTTATTCCCATAACTAGCGGAAAATAAATTGCTTCCTCACTGGCCGAATGCTATTTACGTACACCCATTTCCCCACTAAAATTGACCGCTTACTTCTTGATAAGAATCAACCAAGGGTACTACTGATGACGGGCTGAAAAGTAGTGATGAAGACGAAGACAGCGATAATGGTTGTAATAACGTGCATCAGTATAATTTTCTAACGTCAGTCAACAACGGTTGATACTATTACGTTTTGTCACCGACAACTTCTATACGAGTTGCAACTTTCAATACAATGGGTTGACAAATGCTTCACACATACGCCCTGAGTTGGAATTTGGTAGTCAAATGATAAAACCAATTACCAATGGGAAGCCATTAACAATGATTGCCGAATACACGTGATTTTTTTGGTTTTTGGTTGTCATGCCGACTTGTCGCTGGTCCTTCTTATATACGCTCCCCTTCAATTTAGTATGATTAGAATACTTTTTTTCGTCATACTCTGATGCGACGTCTACTTAATTCAGTATATATCCAAATAGAACCTAACAGAATCACAATTACATCGATGTTCAACCGACGAATGAAGGTGTCTGACATTTGCTGTTGCTGTATGTCATGCTACTTTAGCTCTTATATATAGTCAGGGCGTATATTAGCCTTAGCCATAACCAACGTCAGTAAAACAGTTCTAATAACGTTAATAATTTTGACCCTTTAACCTGAAAGTTTGTTGTCCTATTGATGTTGCATGTTGCACTGTTGTACCTAGTACCTACCAAGACGATGTTATTGTACCTGTGTATTTTCGCTCACCCTTAATTCACAAACACAAAAAACAGACATGAATAGAAGACTGTCAGCTCAACAATAATAATAATACATCACAACAAGAAATCTATGACCAAATGATAAAAATTTAAAACGGTAATTTCGAAGATGGCTCTTGCTTTGCTATAAAAACGAAATAAGAACTGCTAAGAATCGGATAAGTTCGCTCCATTAATGGAAAAAAATCCGCCTTAACCTGTGTGATGAAAAAGGCGCTTTGAGAAAATACACAACCTCTTTATATGTAGTAATTCGTAACAACAATTCCAGGCATCTAACTATTGTCTGATCTCATTAAACGCACCTTTGCTACGAGATTCGTATGCTCTAGTCTGATTTAGATATGGACAAATTAGAGCCAGATATCCGCTAAGGTCCTCGATCGCGCGACACAACAATCGCGTTGTCTTAATATGAATTTTAATTCTATCTATATGAAATAAAAAATTCATGATATGGTAAAAATGTTTCATTAGCGACTGTTTAAGATATTCAATCCCGCAATGCAGTTACAACAAATGAAAATCAGCCCACCTAACAATATTGGTTTTATATAAGTCTTGATATTCAAGGTTGTTACGACTCTTGCATGTTGAAATACATATTGCTCCGACTTAGTACTTGTATTCTTATTCAGCAAAACAATTTTTAAATCATATTGTGTGTACGCACTTTCTCTGTATGAGTTTGCCGCAAGTGTGTGTTTCAAAAGAATTTATGACCGCATTAGTTATTAAAAGAACGTATAAAAGAATAAAAAATGTTTTAAAATTATTTCTATGATAGTGGTAATGATAATATGTAGGTTTTTCGTAAGGCCTTTTGGACTATTACTCTGCAGATTTCACAAAATTACGTTTTTGGCAAACAAAATAAAGAAACTGAAGAGCGGAGACGTAAAAACCTAGCGATCACGTGACAATGTTTCAGAACGAAATTGAAGACTGAAACAGAACGGTTTGGAGAGTGTTGTTGAAATTTATACTTCTACATATACACTGCGTAGCTCCGAAAAATACAAAGAAATTTAAAATTGCAGACAAATTTATCTGAATAATACTACGGAAAACCACACTACTAGACAACAATCACGCACTTCTTTCTGTAAAAAAATTGAACCAGCGATATCTGTTTAATAGAGACTACGACGTACAAAAAACTGCTTTCAAAGCACTCATAAAGCGCTTGTCGCCGACCGCTTGGACCATGCCGATTCGAACTTTCACTTACAATTATACAAATATCTTCACTATAATACATATCCAAAACACTCGCAAAAATTTATGGAGCAGGTGGCCACTGCACCTCGTTTTTTTTTTGCTAACTGATTACAACCCAAACCGCAAGGGAAGACCAAAGAAATTGACGAACCTTTCATGCAAATGGATAACGAATAAGTGCGCGAAGATTATGGTGAATCATTTCCAAGAATGTAACGAGTTATTCAGCGCTTTAAAATAAGAAAGCACTTTATAGATTATCAAATAAATAGATTACTGTCTAGTTGAAACAGCTCAAGATGGAACGTGGTAAGGACAGACATGCGTCTCTCACAAGCATTTGTGGCGTTAAAAATTCTCATCAGAGGATACATATAAAGCAAAGCTGAAATAAATTTACAATTCTGCGCGGACACAGACCTTAAAATTCACTTTTAAGGTAGATTTTGACTATTTCGAGATTACTTTTGTGCAGAATTGCAAGCTCGAACAGTTCTTGTTTTGTATATTGAGCTGATATTTTAAGCAAATCAACAGCTTATTCTACTAAGAACATTTCGCTTTTCTTTAGCAGACCGGCAATTAGATCACTTAACTTCGACTGAATTAGACACTAATATTGCCATTATTAGTCATTCTTTTTTCAAATAAATAATATATAATGCTCGCTTGCTCGAAAAATCTATCTACTCGGCCAATCATTGAAACTGGTCTGAAATTACAAAGGTAGTCAAATACTTCTCGCAGCTAGTGTATATATAATTTATGATATATTATACAAGGATATATATATGTATTTATGCTGCTACACATTTTTAACCTCGCGTGATATATTGATATTTAAGTAGTGAACTGGTAATGTCATAAGACGACACTTAGCAGATGTGACATATGAACGTCATAGACGGCATACTAAATAATAGGTCGGACTCTCGTCTACCAGCCATTCCCCTAAATGAATACTATTTATGGTGAAACAATTTTGAAAAATACGCATATACATATATTCTTACAATTTTTACCTCAATAAAGCGCTGGGGCGCAGTTATTCAGAGGCTGCCAACATAAACATAGTTTTGATTTTTCATGAGCAAATTATTTTAGTATTTATTTAGTTGTACTGAATACTATTGATTTTACAATAGAACATCTGACAGCACTAAAATAAAAGATCATTATTAACAGGAAAATTGTGCAGATTGAAAGGTGGTGCAGTATTATGCGATTAAGCTGTGACCTAACTTGCCAAAAATCGGCACAAGAACTTAAAAAATTTTGAAAAAAAAAGAACTAAAACTAGACGCAGCTATAAAGCTCGCTTAGAATCAAACAACTGATTATGACCGAACACATGAATTTATGATACCAACGTGTAACGTATTTCCTTGAATCCTCTTACCGTGGTCTTAGTGGGCAGAAATAACGGCATTTAACCATGGGTACTGATGACAGTTATTCAGTGGTGACCCTGATTTACAATCGATCTGATCGTTCAATGAAGTTTGTAAACAGGTAAGAGAAATTCTCGAGATATACCTTGCATCGCCCTATTATGGACGCTCCTTACATTTAACCTATAAGCAAGCACATATCGTTCTAAGCAACTACTGTCGTTAATCCTCTATACCACTCCACTCTCCGGGACTGTTATCTCCGCCGGAACATCTTATTGACGAAGAACAACCTCACGAGCACTAGCTAGCCGCTCATCAGCATCCGAACAAAGTCCTCGTAGTGCACGTTCCCGTGGGAATCTTCCTGACCCGCTAGAAGCTGCTCGACTTCATCATCTGTAAAAACATTGCTTCAATTAATGATTTATCTTATTTGGTTTGTTACAAGCAAACAGCAGGTCCGTTGGAGCCAATCCTGAGCAAGAAAAACGATAACAAAATTTGCGCAGGCAATAGATACGTTTGATAGGTCACCAGAGTAAAACCAGATAACACAAACCTGAAAGTTTCTCTCCAAGGGTAGTAAGCAAGTGCCGTAGTTCCGCAGAGGAAATATACCCATTGGCCTCTTTATCGAAGTGTCGCAGACCCTCAATGAAGTCTTCGGGGGTGTCGGATGAGCGGTTCTTACTGAAGATATTAATTCCAATATAAAATGAGTAAGGAGAGGGACGCAAAACAGGTAACTTATTTACTAAGTATATCAATTTACTTCATATAGTTTAAATCATTCCTACAATTATATGATGCCAAGTACACAGGTCTAAGAAGGTCAAAAGTACCTTATAGCGGCAAGAACTGGGAGAAACTCATCGAAGGAGATCCTAGCGGCTTCTTTGTCTTTATTAGCGTCTTTATTGCCCCCTGCTTGTGAACTAAACTTAGCTACATCTGCCTCGGTAGGGTTCTGTCCCAGTGCACGCAAAACATCCCCAAGCTGAGAAACATTAATCTTTCCATCACCTAGAAGTGAAAAAAAGACAATTTTTTTTACTTAGTTATAAAACGGTAATAGATCCTTGACTGAATCATGAACATTAATTAATATACATAATATATAAAATGGCGATGAAAGTCACTACGTCATAGAGTTGTGACTACCGTGAATATATTACTATCACTATAAGTCATATAGTTGAATTAAAAGGCATGAAGGGTCAAAGGTTTTTCATTTCCAAACAAAGCTGTTCTACAACAGATGTAATAACGCAAAAGTCTTATTTGTAAGCATCTTTCATCACTCCTTTTCCTTGATAATCAAATCCTTCTATTGCTGCATTACTCAGGACGTTCATTAATCCGATCATGACAGTGTTTTTTAATAAATTGCAAACCAAATGTATATATCAGTTCACAACACGTTAATTTTGCGATAGCTCTGACCAACGAACGTGGGTGAAAGTAGTGCAACTTTATATTTTACGTGACATTTACTATCGAAACCGCTTTTCTGTGGCACTTTAGGATAATTTATTCAAGAGTATGATTTATGTGATGAGTGAACAATTTTTTAAAATTTTAAAAAGTCATGTCCCTCTTTATTTATAGACACCGGAATGATATTGACGAGCTTGAGGGCTGTAATTCATGTACGCAAAAGCGTATTTAAACCTTATTACGCATTCTAAGAGTTAGGGCTAATTTTCATTGCAATTTCCTTTGGAAGAAGGTATCTTGAGCTGCTATGACATGCTACTATCAAATCTGCGGCTACCATGCTGCACATTATTTTCAAAAATGTTTATTTGTTTATTTTTATTAGAATATGAGGAATCCCTGTTGGATAATATGGTTTTGTTTAAATGTGCTCTATCTTAGCTAATTGAGTTTGAGAGTAGGCCTTACAGACAAGCCCCTTGGAGTCTATCGCAAAGCGAAAAGTAGAGCAACTTTAAAATACAGTCTGAAACTGTTTGCTGAAAACACTTTAAATCAGAAAATTTTGACAATTAATCACTTAAAAAATGGAAGACCGTGCTCGGACAATTCGAACACTATGTCCGCCTGATTATCTAAATAGACAATATTTACAATGCCCTGAATATCAATCTCTATGGCGTAGCATTCGTTAGACGAAACACTCAAAAAAGCGTTTAAACCGCCTTAAGCTAGAAATTATATTTTGGCCAACAATTGATTTACACTTTTAACCTCTTAAGTATGCGTAATTTACGTGTTTATTGTTAGCTATATTCTATATGTGATAGTTCTATTTACATTTACAGTTTAAAAATGAAATAACGTAGGCCCCAAATTGAAGCAATATTTATCCCAAACCCAATAAAGCTCCGTAGCATGTTTTGTTTACACATTTCTACGTGCTATTGTATGCGAAATTATCGTTATATTATTACTAACTAAGACTAACACAGTCAATCTTGGCGTGCTGATAGCAGAAGTTGCCCTAGCGATATGTGTGCGTACACAATCGACTGAGTTCTGCCAACATTGACAGTCAGCGGCTCCCTACCATAGTTGTAAACTCCCGAATTAGCCACGGGCGTAGGAACACATTTCCGCGTTCCGTGCCGGCAAAAACAAGAATATTACTAACGTAAATCAAGTTGATCAGTTATTTTTTTTTATTATATATATATTGTATATATAACTTGGTATAGCTATAATATATTACACCTTCGATAGTTAAAGCCTACTTTAGAAGCACTGAAAGAATTGGACAGGCTTATTATTCTGCTTTCAATACTTGGTGACTCACTTACCCCGGCTGTCGAATAAATTGAATGCTTCCTGATAATCTGGAATTAATTCATCGCTGTACGCAGCCATTATGGACTGCCGTTTATAGTCGAAACTGCGATAGAAAACCCCTGATAGAAGCAAGAAACTACTTGGTAGGTAGACCCGTGTTCTCCACTTCAACGATCTGTTTGCACCACAACTCACTGGAATGGTCAGCGCTGACCGTTGACAGGGGTTGCTTTGAAACACTCCTTGAGTTGTCGTCAGCTGCGTTAAGTTGCCATATACCGGTTATGAGCGTTGCTTGATACCAATATAAACAGACGAAAGCTTCGTTCATGTGCTGCGAAATGACAATATTCATAGTTTAGTTTATCATACTTAATTATTCTTTAAAGAAGCAAGTAAGCGGTCATTAAAGGATATTGTTGAAGCGATTTTGAGCTAATGAAAGACTTAAAATTGTGTTGATGGTTGGTCTATCGCAACATTAGGATTCAGAAATGACGAATACAGGGCCTAGCAAAGATGAGTTTCCTGCAGAACTTAAAGACCGTGTTAAACTGTTCCACGAAAAATTACTGGTTAGTTGTTACGATATTGATAACCTGGTAAAAGGCTTACTTAATTAATTTTATGAAGAGGATTTTTTTACGAAATTTTATAAAAATAGTAGTTTTACGAAGGTAAGTAATACTGTGAATGTTCCACAAGCAAGTTCATACAATTTTATATGTAAAGTTAGCTTATAAATAGAGATAACAATATTGTCACTTATTCGCAAGGCTCCTTTACTATTGTGGTGGATCCTTTCACAATGCAAATAATATCATATCATCGCTGCAATCCAGATGCATCACAGAATGTATTCGTTGGACAGTGTTACTTAAACTTTGCTGCCCAATTTCGTAGTCACTAAATGAATACTAATATAAGTAAAGTGGAAGTTGTAAATCACGACGCGTAGAAACAGAAATAATAACATTTCAAGCGCGACGGGTGGTGGTACGTATTTCAGCTGTATTAGTTCAAACGAAAGAACAACTACGAGGCAGCTTGTAGCGGAGTCAAAAAGTTGTATATCAGAACGTTTATTGCTGCTTTAGGAACTGCGGGAGTGTCTGCAACCACTGCTGAGCAAAACGGGACTCGAACTCAAGGAGTCCTTGGATACCTTGGACAAGGCGAAATTCGATCTGTCGATCTGCTATGGAATGTCGTCTCTTCTATGGGCCTACATGCTTACCCAAGGTACGCACCACGGATATATCTATAGTAACAACAATAAATAAATATTCCTAAGAATAACGTTCTTTGCTGCATAGCTAATGACAAACAGTTGAAAAAACGGAGGAACGTAATATGTCTTTCTGGGGCCACCAGTACTGTGTGCGTGATCACACATACAATAACTACGAGAATCTATACTGACATGCCATATTGTTCATAGGAGAGGATCCAAAGGAAACTTCGTTGAAAATCGAACTAGATCGTATTCGCGAGTACATGGGCCGAGTTAAGGAGATCGAAGACCGTGACAAACGACCGCGAGTCGAAACCGGCGCAGCTAAACGCTTTGTTCGAAATGCTTTGTATCAACAACCTTCGGATGATCACCTGCCTGCAGCAAAGAAACGAAAATTCTAAACCTAACGTGTAATATATAGGAATAAATATATTTCAATATAATATGATGCGATCTGTGTCCTGTTTGTCCCTTTCACAAATTGCAATCATAGATTTAAAAACAAAATATATTTTGATACCTTCTCACGATGGTTACTTTGCGTGTGTACAATTGGGTTTTTGATACTCTTTCGTATATAATTTAGGTATGATCATTATTGGGAAGGGTTGATTCAAAATTAAGGATTTGAGAAGACTCATTAATGATTCAAGATTTCAATCTGTCCCTGGAAACATATCCTTGTGTTCAAATGCATTCCTAATATTCCGAAATCAAAATCAACGAAAACTAAACAAGCATTACTATTGATTACAGGGTATTTATTCTTGATTACAGAGCATTTATTCTACGAAGGAAGTATTTGTTCTTACCAGTCGACCTGTCAATCTTATACAGTGAATGTGGATTTGGTTATATACGTGAATTCAATTTTTTTCACTAAATGACGTCAACAGGAGTAAAAGTAGTGTCTGCAATGAAAGCCGTTGGGGATATCTGCACGGATTTAGTTAGAAAAACATGAAGATATTTATGTGGTATGTAGAGACGGTGTATCTATAATAATTTGTATGTTATTATAGACAAAAATTTATCTTCACAAAAAAAATGATTTCTTGAATAAACTAACTTCATTATGCCTTGTTATTTAATGTACATGTCACATGAAGGGTTCGATAGAGTGAGCTTTGGCTTTTTTGCTGTTGGACAGCTTATTTCATCTTTCTATTATTCGGAAAAGACTCAAAGCATTACGATATGACTAGACGTATGTTGGTATTGTAGTGTAGATAGATAATTAGCAAAGTAAATTTTCTTTACCTATTGACATTGTGGCTTTCTTATTGTGGATAAAATACATCGATTAATATCAAGTCCTCAACCGAATTCGTTTTTTGCGATATTTATTGATGCAGCCGTTTTAGGAAGCGTTCACCATAACTTTATTATGCGTATGGTTGTATATGCGTTGGCTATATAATTTTTGCAACATTAAGCGTCGACCGGCATATAGTACAAATAATCTTTTAGTTATGGCCCGGAGCCATTTAAATGTGTATGTAATGTTTTAAAATAAAAATGTCACATTTGGAATTTTAGAAAAAAATAGTATATGTCTTTAATATTCTATAATTGAAACAATTCTTTCGGTGCACGCAACAACCCCTCATGCAAATATATAGTTGACAAAATCAGTGAGAGCAATTTCACCTCTTAAATGGATATTATCGATGAGTATCAGCGTTTCTACTGTACTGAGCTTTTCTAATCTTTGAAACATTCAAGCATGAGCTCCATTGCGCAGTTTTCTCGACTACAGCAGTTCCCTGAATAATTCCACATTTGTCATGATCTTACGTACATTTCTTTGCTGATTTCCATGAGACTGCGTTTTTCACTCGGTGCTACTGAGCCGTATATAGATTCCTGTTAAACGTCCCAGTTTTGTCACGCATTCGCTACTGTCTAAGCCCATTTCAATTCTGCCAAATGCAAATCATCGTCTTTTTCGGATGGAGATTTGACTTAGCGTTGGGCTTAAGCATAAGTTTCCAAACGACCCATTTCATTTTCTTACTTCTTATCGCATGGATGCGTTTCTTCTCGTCACTCGTGACAATCTTTTGTAGGAAGTTGTTGTCGCTGCGTATGGCGGGTGCCGAGCGAGATGTTGAAAGGCAGTGAGAAGCCATGTGCTTTTCACTCAGTTCAAGGAGAACCCTTAATTTTTGAGTAAATCTTATACAGTAAAAACAATAATTTTCTTCCTACTTTACAAGCTGATTGCGCAGCATTTTTTTCCAAAATTTCTCTAAATAATCTTTATTGGGGTACATCCTTTAGCTCCAAGGTGCCATCATTGAGTTTTGGAAGTAACCTTTGAGCTGTCTGCTCAAGCATGGAATTCATGTCACAGACGACTCAGATACTTAACACTGCCTCATTAGATATTTCAGTTCGGCAAGAGGCGAAATATAAGGTATTTTTGCTATCACTGTGGAAGCTAAACTCGAAATTAAATTACGCTCATTGCATAATGAAGTTAAACGGTTTTGTAAAAAATAGAGTTTTGCAGTGATTTGTAGAGGTGAACAAGCAGCAGAGAAGTAAGGTAAAAAAAGAATGTCCGAAAAGAAACAATTATTATTTATGTAGTAACCCAATAGTTTTAAATAAAAGAGCAAGTGAAGCACGCGATCCCTCATTCAGTCGTTGCATGTTCGCAGCACAACTAAAACTCTTCCCGCGCGTTCACGCTTGAAGTTAAGCTACTGGGTTACATTACATTTTAAGTTTACGCACGCTGGGTAGCGGAAAAGGCCTGATACTTGTGACCCTAAAAAAAAAAAGACGTGCTCCTTGAACTTCGTGGCATAAATAATCATTACTGTAGTCTTACTAAATAACGTGTACAAATTCGGTATCAATGCCTAACTCTTACAAAAAAGCGGAACTTCTGAATTGAACCTACTGCACTCAAACACTTTAGAAGTAATCGTAATAAATTAAATTAAATTTGACCCAAGTTTTAACATGACCAACTATTTGTACGTTAATTCAACCCAATATTTTTAAAGAGGGCCTAGATGTTCGTTTCATCCCATAATGATGCTATGGGGTACATCCTCTATTCGTAACAAATGATCAGATAACTTAGAATGTTTACTTAGGTGAACTGTGCCTGCTGGTAGGTTCTTCGCCTACAGCTACCTGAGGGAGAAAACTTGTTCTTCTCAAATATAAACCCTTTCTTATTAGTTTGTTAAACTAGTTTGATTATTCCTTGATGTCTAACTTTTGCGCGATCCCTCTAGCAGATAGCCGGCAAAAGGCAGTGTGTATTCGCAGCACTACTCTGCTCGTTAGATATCCGAAAAGTGTTAATCAAGTAATTAAAGTAAAATCAAAAGCTTATACGGTAACAACTTTTTTTTGTGACGAACTGTTAGTAGAATTTTATTGGAACAGCTGTAAAATATTTAAACTGTTTCTGATTCCACGTAAAGCACATCTACACGGTAATACTTCCTAAATACCTTTTTATGTCCTCTTAGCTATTGATTTCTGGGGACAATATCGCACATGTATTACATTCCTAGACTAGCTTGTGTTCGTAGATGATATTTACCCTTAACGATATCAACCTGGCGGAGCCCTCCAAAAATTTCCATTGGCTTTGCCATATTTCTGTGCCGCATGAATGATGTAGGAAATCGTTGTCGCCGCAACATTTATTGTTTATATAATACAACTTATGACCTACTACTTTAAAACCGTTGTGTATATAAACAGAATTTCAGTACATCAAGTTACCTGTATTTTTTCACAAGGGACATTCACATTAATTACTCAATGAGTGCAATTAACTTTGCTTTCATAGCTGCTTACATTATTTCTACATAAACATAGAATTTATAAATAATACTTTTTCGAGCTACGTGCCGAGTAAGTTTGGATTGTGCAGACCCAAGACTTACGGTGTAACGTGTTAGATAGGGCCACCGGACGTCACAGAAGTACGTAATTTCTGTCGAAGCTTGACTTTAAAAGAAATTGCAAATGCAGAGTCCTTAATGATGAAGCAACGGAAGACAATATAACAACTCTTGATGGTGCATTAGGTTACTCTTGTACTGAAAATGGTTAAATCTAAAACAGGTGAAGCTATGATATTAATGTATTTTATAAATTTTACTATGGGAATAGTGATTCCATTTAAATATGTCGATATTTATTTTGAATAAAGGATAGCACATTCGAAAATAGAAATTATCGTATAGTTTTGCTGACATAATTGAGACGCATTATTTACGACCATGTGTGAGTTAAGTCATTTCTCAAGAATATTAGAGGCGCCGCATAATTAGTGGTTATCAGCATATCATTTGTAATAGATAGAAGAGACAATCGCGCCTTTTGTGTCAAGAATCAAGATAGAAAATAAAGTAGTTCAAGGTAAAAGCCCTGCGGGATAGCGGGTGGGCATGCATCACTTCTACTAAAACTAACATCAGATTTAGCATGAAAAGATCAGTTTTTAGGATAGTTACATATGAAGAAGCACTGAGTGCCGTTCAATATCACATGAATGTCAGAAAACACAAGTAATCAAACTTGGACGTAGCGTGCAGAGTTGCTCTGCGGTAGGGATTTATTGAAGCCAAGATGCTTGAAGTTAAAGCAAGTCCAGCGCGACCGGGTGGACAATTGTTAGGCTTAATACCCTCATGATATTTAAGGAGATTTAGCAAGCGTAAAAATAAATACCATGAAACTGTCTGGATGGGTGTATTTACGAGATTTATATATTTTTTTTCAAAAATTTTTCTTCTTCTCTCAAAAATATTCCTATTGTCACTGCAAAAGCCTTATTTTTCAGTGTTGCGAAGCAACATCCTAGAAAATGGAAATTGAGCACGAATTCTTCATAATCAATGGTACCGGCCATGGTCATTGTAGTTAGGCTTTTGTAGTGACACTTTTTAGTCAAAAGACGAGCTTACAAACTCACAGTGGAACTCGTAAAGCATTAATTGTGCTTTTGAGATACTGATTAGGTCAAGTGTCCTTAAAAGTGATATTACTATTTGTAAATCGATATGACACGTTTCGCAGTTACGCTCTATTACGCCACACATTTGGCCACTGGCAAGCCGTAAATTATTTAAACCAGCTTTTGGTACAACAGTTAGTGTTATCGTGATACAAATGAACTTACTAATGTATGTCGTACGATTCGCAAGAATTATCAAATGGAAGCAAACAGCGTATCTTCTGGCAATGGCAGTGGCGTTGTTGGCAGAGCAGTGATGGACATCAATCAGTGTCACTATTTTGTTAAATATTACGACATGGTGTCCGGATCAACGGGTGTGATCTGCTGATGACCTATCATTCTTTCAGAGAGCTACATTGCAGAAATGAAATTTGAGTTAATGGAGATATTTGTCTAATATTACGGGAATACGTTGTTCGTTGTAATACATAATATCCTAGATATATCATCCTAGATTATATTATATATTGAGTTGTCTTGCGTAGGAAAACCGCCTGGGTAATAGGGAATAAAACTTTTTTCTTTGGGTATTTTTAACATGAGATTTGTCGCTTTACGTCGTTGGAGCTCTGGGAAATTTAGTTCGGAAGTTACAGCTAGAAATCCAAAAGATCCCATAGGCGAGAGCGGCAGTCACTGAGAGATCTCGACGTTAAGCTTTCGAACTGGCAGTGAATCATTATGTCAAGTTTATGTCGGCGAGGCTTTTTCGTGCACTTAAAAGTACAAATATTCAACTGTATCCCGATTGCCCGGCTTGCGAACAGTCGACAAACTCAAACCAAGGCAAGCTTTCCTTTTTTTCTCTAGTTCGTAGATTTACATCGCTATCACACGTGTGTCGCGCTTCAAATATTAAAGCTTTTAGATTGGTGCCTGCTTTACCCTTTCCCGCGCATAGTAGCATCAATGGATGTCAGTGTCGATGTCCGCGCAAATAACTACAGCTTCTTTCCTATAGGGACACCACCAACGTCACCACCCTGTTCGCCTTCTCTCACTCGTTCTTCGTATTCCGCTCCTCCTCCCCTGTTCCTCCCAACTACGTTTTACCTACTGACCCTCCTTTCGCCCCGATAGCACCCACAGACTCAACTCGTTCTGACTTCCCTTTTGCTCCTTGTGCTAATGCTATAGCGTGGACAGCGGCGAAAGCCACGGCGACGACAGAGAGCTACGGTGCGTGGCAGCATTCAGCGACTACAGAAAGCCTTCCCTGCTCAATTGTTTGAGTTTCTCCTAGAATACGCTCTCACTCAGCTTTCATTGACCGAACACGGCTGGTCGCCTGTACGTCGGGCACCACCTAACAAGTCCGGTATAAGTGACCACTTGCTGCAGTATCGTCGCCGGCTTATCCACTGGCAGGTGTTCAGTTGTCCGTTGACCTGTGCCAGTTTAGAATTCAGACTTCGTTTGAAAGTTTCATATCCTCGAGGGCCCTTTCAATTTTCAACAGTAACTGCGGCAGCGCGACCCTGGCTGAAACAACGTCCAATGTTGTCTTTACTAAACATCAGGAACAAACCAGGCGGCTAACTATGGCCTTCTTTGAGGTAAGCAGATCAAGAAGGAGAATATTGATTCATTGAGAGCACTTAACTATAATTCTTAGGAACTGAATTAAGCCGCCAGTCGCGCATTGTGGCATCCAGTCAAAAAGTACAGTCAGGTACAGTGTAAGTGTTTTGTAAGTTTTGTGACAGCGTTTGTGTAAGTATCAGCCGAATGGCGACTGTCAAAAATTCTGGGACTCAAACAAGAGTGAATTTTGGCGGCGGATGTCTGCGGTGGCTGTTTGCTGGATGGTTTACGATATCAGTCAGTGATTTGATGACAAGTGTTAGACAGCAGCCATCACTTACGCCCATCCTCTGCAACTCAGGTCTTCTTTGAACAAACGTTCCAATCCCTTGACGACCTCTCCGATTGCTTGTCGTCTGTCACGCGTCCTTAGAAATAATTGCTAATGACGTGTTGGTTGTTCTGCGAGTGATTGGCAAAATTATTAGAATGGAACGTTAACGACAAATACTACGGTAGATAGGATATTAGCACACTAGATCCCGAAAAAAATCGTCAAAGTCGCTCTCATACATAAAAGTCTCGAGACCATGAATACTCATACAAGCACAATACACAGATTATGTCCCTCGAGTGCTCGTATTCATCTGTAGTTGATTTCCAAAGAGCATATACACAGGACACTGACAAAAGAGTAGCCAAACAATATAATATATTTAGTCACGCAATAGGATCGACCGGCCGATCGATCGCTCTCATGAGTATTTTTTCCTCCCTACTACAGATTTTCTAATACTCTATGTCGACTGTTTTGACTTTAAACTTGAAACCAATTTTTCATGCGAGCAGTGTCGAGTGATCGCTTGCCGCCGGCACTACTTAAACCCACAAAGTGGTTTCACGTTTCATGCGACGACGCTCCTCTCTCATATTCGGACATGACAGCAGCGGATTCAATGGCCGCTGCGGGCCACGGCACAGCACGACAAAATATGCGACCTCTTCTTCCACGATACAAGTACTCAACTCGTTGACAATTCTATAAGAGCCTCCAACACTATATGTACATCCTCTCTTCTGGGCTCAGTAAACACACTAAACCGCCAACATTATATAAGGCTATATCATAGCTATACTTGTACGCTACACATTCGCATGTATCTGTGAAAAGTTATTATACTTCCTCTTATCCTTTTCATTACTGCGGTCACTACGCCTAATGGTGTCACGGCCTTGCTATTCAAGCAGTGTAAAGGCTATATTGTTTTCAGTCAGTAAAACTTAAATGTCACTAAATGCTCTTGATAGTCACGTGTCCAAATGAATGCTATTTATGAAGTTGTCCGTCAAGAAATTTAATATTCAGTGGTGAGACTATAAATGTAGACAGCCTGCAAAGAACAAAGACGATGCTGAAGTTAAGTGAATATCGACTTATACGTCTGTCAAGTGAAATTGAAGAACGTTTATCAATTCCAGGTTGGTAGTAAATGTGACCAAGGTCTATCTATATGACGATATATAATGATATTTTTTACTACAGTAGTTGGTTACTTGAATAACTATCAAGTTGGTAGCAGACTGAACTTCTTATATTAGCTATCTAATACCCTTTGAAACTGCTACAAACGTTTTCGGCCTCATTTGAACATAATTCAGATCTCTTTGCGGATAAAAAACATATTCCCAAAAAATGTGACTTTTTGTAATTTCATGATTTCATAAGGTATTTGTACAAAAGCCAAGGTTGAACCTGTACACATAAGGTGGGCGAAAAGTCACGAGATATTTTTGCCTCGTTCTATATAAGTCGGCTAGTTTCATTTTGTTTTCTATGTTTTTGCCTAGTGTATCAGTGAATGAAAGTGGAAGCGTAGATGGGGAAACCATAGAAAGTCTCCTCTGCCAAATGTATTTCATGAATTCTGGGCATGTATTGTATAGAGGAACTAGCAGTAAAACTTTCAGGTGTTGAACTGTACGGTAAAACTTTGAATTACTTCTGTAAGCAGGGGTAACATATATGGAAGCTGTGCAAATATGAAAGACGATAGCGTGCAAAAAAACCTTAATTATATTTACGAAGCCATGAAGACCACATAGGTTATTTTTCTTTATAAATGTTGCGTGATGTTACTTGCAATGCATTTTTTTTTATTTTGCACGTGAGTACATAAATCAAAAGCAAAACTTTATTTTTCTCATACACCCGACTGTAATTCTAGCATTTAAGATTACTTAGAAGAACTGGAGAAATCGCAAGAAACTCAATATTGTGTCTTTGACTTTTTGTTACTTAAGTTGATGCTTACCTTTAAGTTTGTGCTACATAGCAGACCAATAGGCTCAAGTTACGTCATTTTAATATACTAAAAGATGTCTCAGTGACAATGCAGCGCTAACGTGCTTGCCTATTAAACTTAGGGGTACATGCTGGTCGAAGTTCAAACCCGTATGCGGATACGCTTCGTTTCGGGCTGGAAGCCAGCCTTCTCAGACAATATCTAACGGTTTAAATACCAGACAAAAAAACTTAAAATATTTATTTAATATACTTAAAGGTAAGCTATTATTTCCATCCGCATGCTCATCTATATTTTTTTTTGGAAATAGGAATTTCAGCTCCGAACCGAAGCATAATTTCTGTAAAACACTTATGCATTAAAAAACTGCCTTAGACACAAAACTATCGTCCGGTATTTTTTTTACACCATTCGGTTATCCTCTTTGTCGGACAAATCCTTAGAATCACCTCTTCAATATAGCATCAAAGACCTGCCCCACTAGAGGGATTAGCCGGGCTGGGTCCTGATAAACTTATTTAGGTGTTTCCTAACAGACCTATTAAATAGCATGGCGATCTAGCAAGCAGCTCTTAACACCTTATTGTATTCTTTTTGAATTGATAAGTACTGTTATTTATATTTTTCCCGGTGGTTTATTTTTTGGCAGTCACTTTTCCAACGTTAATATTTTAAACAGCGTCGCTGGGTCCTTATTGTGTCATGTTTGCAGCAGCAATGCACTCGAAGATATACACATTATCTATCTAGACCAGGCCGCTCCTCCTCATCGTCAGGTAGTTAGTTTTTACCAAATGAGTGAATCTCTCCGTTTAACTTGTCTTTTTAAGCTTAAGCCCACAGGCCACAAACTCCACGGGACTTCATTTGCCAAAACCATTGTGACATTCAGTAATCGCAGACCTTCAACGTCTTGAGATACTAGTTCTTAACTTGTTTTTTTTTAACATCAGAATGCATTATTATAGAGCATATGGCTCCTATCGAAAATTTCTATCTTTAAAAACATTTTTTATACTTAATCTTTTTCTATTTGAGCTTTTGATATAACGAGCGTAAGTCCTCATTTCTCAGCGTGTAGCAAATCGTCTTCTCTTAAGAATTCCCACACACTCCTACAAGCCTTTGATTAAACAGTAGACTGCTATATAAGCTATAGCATATATAAAAATATAATTTACTGAAGTCATACATTCTTTCTAAATATAGCACTACTCGTACTTATTTGGAAATACATCTGTTATTTACAAACCTTTGACTAACTAACTATAGAAAGCTGAAGTTGCGAATAAAAAATTGAATTGCCTAAAAAGAAGTGTCACAAGACTGGTGCAGCTGAATTGGTTACTAGCAAAATAAACATTTTAGGCTTAGACTACATAGAACTCTATATGAATCATGTACATATATGTTCTCTCACTCGAACAAAGACAAGGGTACGATGATTGTGCTAACGGAAGCGAACAGTGTTATTCTGCGTGTTCTTGAAAATAAGTCCACATTAATTTTTAATGCACCTTGAACTTTATTCACATGGTACTATAACACACTTGCTATTTTTTTTATACCAGCTGAGGTCCACGAACAATTTTGATTTTTGCTAATGTCGAAATCAAAAATAAAAATGCGAAAAAACCAATAGCACACTAACATCATATCCACATAAACTTATGTAATAAACAACACGCGTTTTAACGCTCACATCTGACACACAAAATTTTTCTATTTACACAGACTTACTAGCTCAATTATTTATAAACACCGACGACCGAGCTTATCAAACACTGCCTTCTCGCAGCCACGTCTTTGTTACAACTGTTCCACCCGCAGTGTAATTTTGGTTACCTAAAGATACTCAATAACATCGTGACCTTGGGAACATAACAAAAAGTGGTGAACCTCTCTTAAACCGAGGCAGCGGCCATGGCCTCATCAGGCCGTCGTATACCTTGTTTATCGTCTGAAAGGACGCTTTCGAGCTTGAGACGAGGGGCCACATTCATCGCGCTTAATTCCTGGCAAAGAAGCTTGAATGCGTACGGCATTTTGACTGTGCACATGGCTTGCGACGACTTACAGCATTGACACCACCTAGTAAATAATTAAGCGAGGCAAAGGTAATATGTTTAAAATGTTTGCTTTACAGCTAACAGTTAATAACGACACGCATTTTAAACCTGATAGCTTTTCTAGCGTTAATCGCCACCCGTTTAACTTATCCCATAGAATAAGGCTACTTAGTTGAACTCAAATAAACAGCATATGGTTGCTTTAACCCTAAGAAAACTAAAAATAACTTACTTAAGGAAGCCGATCAGCCCACAGGTGTTGCAGATATCTACTTCAGTAGCATCCGAACTGAACATCAGACGTTCACGCATCAGCATAGCTGCACCGTGTCCAATCAAACAGTCTCTTTCCATTTCTCCTAAGCGCAAACCGCCGTCACGTGAGCGACCTTCGGTGGGTTGCCTCGTTAGCACAGCTCGAGGGCCTCGGGCACGAGCATGCATTTTGTCCTGCACCATATGCTTTAGTCGCTGATAGTAACAAGTACCCCTAGCAAATAAAACAAGGCGGCTATTATCTCCTATTTATTCTTGAAGTTTTTATTCGTATCTTTGATATCAGATATGTTCTACATGAAACACACTATTCCTTTATTTACCTGTAAATATATGCTTGCATAGGCTGTCCGTTTACTCCGCTGGTAAGTATGTCCTTGCCCTGATAGTGAAAGCCATAACTCTTCAATATCTCACCCATTTCCTCACAGGTGACATGATCACCTTCCGACTTATTTTCAAATGCCGTCGCGTCCTGCAAACGACCTGAAAGGGCAGCTGCCTTACCTCCAAGAATTTCTATCATTTTCCCAACTGTCATTCGGGATGGAAATCCGTGAGGGTTCATAATAATATCGGGCACGATTCCCTGATCATCAAAGGGCATATCCTCTTGATTCACTATAAGGCCAACGACGCCCTTTTGACCATGTCTTGAACTAAATTTATCACCGATTTCTGGCTTTCGCGTCTGACTGATTACAACCTTGAACAGTGTTTCACCTTCAGCGTTTACCGTCATCATCACACGATCGATTTGCGCTGGAACATTTCCTTGATATCTGTGGGAAAAGTGAAGTACAAGGTAAAATCGACATGATGAAACAATCGAGAAATTACAACGAGTGTGCTGGTAAGAGCAGAAATTCTGATCAGTGGTTTTCAAAATTTGAATTAAGAGTTCAACCGCACTTACTCAACCTATTGGCAACGCAGGCCTTTACCTGAGGGGCATTTCTTGATATTCGACAGGCTGTCCAGGGTCGAGAGTAGCCGCTCCTCCAGCTGGAATATGCCTGTTGATAAGCACCTGCCCTTTTACAACTGTTTCCCCAACCATGACTATGCCATCATAGTCAAGGCACTCGTGCTCAAAAATTGGCTTGCGTGTCACTGCGTCAACTAAAGGACCCATAATCTTGTCAACAGCCATATTTGGATAACGTCTGAGTTGACATTTTTGTGAAGTCACCACACGGCATTCACCTGTAAAATATTGTGCTTTCGCCTGTACAACTAAATTCTCAATTTTACGGAACTCGTCTACATGTCGAACATATATGCAAGCAATAACTGCAAAGATTTTCAATTTTATGGCGAAGTCTTCTCTGATAATAATTATAAGAATAAAATATATGTATGTACCTTAGAAAGCAACTATGTTAAGCTTACCAAAGCCTCTTTCCATTGAGTATTTATTCATTACAATGGCGTCTTCTATATCATATCCAGAGTAGCTCATTACAGCTAATGATACGTTTTGCCCGGCCGGCATCTGATCGAAATTAATTAGCTTTATCGCGCGTGTCGTACCCAACGGCCTCTGTGGGTAGATCATGTTGTACTGTAATGTGTCGATCCGTTGCTGTTGATTAAAGCCTAGCACACCTATCGCTTGTTTACCTGTGTCAAAAATAGTATCGAAACAGCATGTAATTTTAAATTTGGGATACGAAGGAGTATAGTTGTTTTTATTCTATTACAAAATGAAACTTTAGAAATTCGCCAGTGAAAACGTGAGATGTGTTTAGATAAGGTGCATACCAGCGTGAAGTCTATAGAGATAATAACAAAGAAAAAAAAGGAAATAAAAACTAGATAAACATGACTTCTCTGCACTTGTGTTTCAATAATGAAAAGTGAGGCTTTCTTACCCATAGCGCATTGATAGGTGTTCCGAGGACTCTGATTGTGGTGTGGAAATGGAATGATGCCGGCGCAGGCTGAGAGAATAGTAAAGGGAGCAATTTCCAGATGTGTCGTTTTGATTGTGATATCTTTTTCATAAATGGCGATAAGCGCGTCGTTTTCCTCATTTACATCGAGAAACTCTACAAAGCCCATGTCCAGGAAGTCTTGGAAGTTATATATATTGGCTTTGAGGTCGTCCAAATGTTTCTGCGTAACTTTTGGCTGACCATCCTCAACAATGATAAACGGCCTGCAGAAACGACCACCGTCAGTTACAATATACACACAGCGATGTAGATGATTTGGATAAACTGATAAGTAAGGCGACAAGTATCCCTTCCGACGAAATTGCCGAATCTCGTTGATAAGCCTGCGATGATCCTCAACGACGCCTTTAATAACACCGTTGTGGAATACATAGTAGACGTGTGTTTTGCTGAATTCAGCTCCGCATAGTAGTCGAATATCCTGGACTCCCAGCGATATCAGAAAATCGGTGAGATCTGCAGACGAATTGATTGTGATATGAGCCATCAGAGACATATTTTTTACGAGACCGCAAGCCTCACCTTCCGGTGTATCGGATGGACAAAGCATACCAAACTGAGATGGTTGTAGTGACCTCGGTCCAGAGACTTTGCGGGATTTTTCGAAGTGAGAATTTACTCGAGTCATCATACCTGCATATAAATGGAGCAATAATTTGTTACGTCAGTATGTATGTGAATTTTGTTCGTCTATATTATGTCACCAAGTTGCTCTGTTCATACTTTTAAGTTTTAGGAAAAAACTTTCAATAGTATAATTCGTAAGTATATACTAGCATTGCAAACAAGTTGAAAATGTGGTAAATGCATCTTACCTAAGCAGGAGATATAGTTGAGCCTTGACAACACCTGCGTAACGCCAATTGTGTGCATATTGAATCTGCGAATTATCCAGTTGCCAGTCGAGATAGCGTTAATCAGACCTGATGTAATTGTAGAGGGTTTAAAAAATTTAACGATGTCAAACTGAGCAACTCGAACTAGGGGGATTTGCTTGTCGGCCACCAACTTCAAGTCCTGATTAACCTTTTTTAACAGGTCTTCAAACAGCAGCGATATCATCGAACCCGGAAGCTCAATTCGTTTGTTGCCGTAATAGTCGCGATCGTCAATGAAGCGGCGATCATAACGCGCCTGAATGATGCGACGCACCATTAGTGCAAGATAGTGTGCCCGGACAGTCATATTGTAGTCAGGCGATTGAACGGGAATATGGTTGACTACGGATGAAAGTACGGCTTCCCATGCCTTGTCAAGGGGGTCTTCCGCTTTCTGTGGTCCAAACATCCGCTGCTTCATCTTTGCCGCAAGGAATCTCAGTGCTTCTTCCTGAGTAAACACCTTGAGCTTGTGACACTCGACAATCGAGCCCACGAATGCTACTTGGACATTTTCCTCCGTTCCAATCATCTGATGGATGCGCAGGTCATTCTCAATTCCCATAGCGCGAAACATTGCCACAACGGGAATGTCATCAACGAAGCTATTATGCTTAACGTAGAACTTTCCGTTTTTTTCGATTATGTTGGTACGAGATTTTCGTTCGTGTGTTGATGACGTTACCTGACATGAAATGACACCTTTGCTATCTTCGTCAATGAGGATTCGATTGTTGGCCAACTGTTCAGCCATAAGCACGACTCGCTCAACACCCTTGACAACAAAATATCCACCGTGGTCATTGGGGCATTCTTTAAGTTTCGTAAGTTCCCAAGGCTTTTTATTATAAAGTACACATCGTTTGGATTTCAGCATAATTGGAATGCGGCCAATTTCAAGATCGTTCCTAATAACCAGCTCATGACCTCTCTTATACGCGATATCGACGTAAATGGGCGCATAGTATGTCATATCCCGAATACGGCACTGATATGGCGTAGTAGGTGTCACCATGCCAGGGCCTTCGACAATACTTGGAGTCCCAATACGGATATCGGTGTATTCCATATACCAGGTGGGATCGGCCTCCGAGTAAACAATGGCATTGGCTTCTAGGATCTCACGCATTTCCGTTTCGATAAAATAATCGAACGAGGCTATGTGATGATTAACTAGTCCCTACAAGCACAAATATCAGATGCCCTTATTGATATACATCATTTACAGTCTCTGTTAGAGTAAAAATGACCACTACTTTGATTGAGTTGAATATGAGTGCGTACAAGACTTGCTTTTTTATTCAGTTTATCATCAGATACTATATTAGAAAGATTACTGTACATAGTTAAGGCACGTTAACTAACAATAGCATAAATCTTAGAAACGATATAGCTCTTAGCAGATAATAATAAACTTATCCACTGTATTAACGTTTCGTATAAACGAGAAAAGTGAACGAACGAAAAAGGGAAGAGTTTTCGAAGTTTGGAGTTTATAGTTCAATACGAGTTAAAGGATAATATACAAGCTAACTTACCTTAGTTTTGAGGAACTCGCGGACGAGTTCGCGCTTATCATCGAGTCGGATACGTTCGTCACCCTTCGAAAGATTTTGGCCCACCATGGCTAACCCAGGCTCAGGCTTAACGAATTCCTGTTTCTACAACAATAAAAAATGTGAGATTCAAGTCATCTTTGACAGTAAACTTTTAAACAGCAACGTCAATTCTGAAGAGGTACTATCCCATCTACAGCTTACAGAACATACAGAATGCCTCGTTACCCAATTTTTGCACATATTCAGCGTTAAAAAGGCCTCACTTCACTGCGGCCAATATATAGTTTCGAATCACACTGCTTCATACACTTATATTTAATTGGAAATAGGTATTTCAAATTATTGTATTGATTAGAAAAGTCATTGTACGCCTGTCTACCTCACTGATAGTGAAGACAGAGTCTCTTAAACTTTTCGACGGCTAGCACTCACTTCTTTGAATTGAACCAGTACACAAACTGATATTTATAGGAAAATATGAGGCCATTTTTGGGTCGAAAGATAGCAAATGCATTTAAATAGGATATCAAACCCTTTGTATCCGTATCTTTATATGATACCTTGGACATTTTGAAATAAATTTCGAACAGGTTTAGTAAATAACCTGTAAAAACGTCGTGCCCCTCTACTTCGGACGAGACGGTTAAGTAAGGTCTAGATCTCACGGAATTTGTAACATTAAGTTACATTAAAAGGCAGAGAAATATTAAAGCCGGTTTTGTCTATATTCATAATATTTTTTACACCGCTCTAGCTAAATGGTACAATGTACAGTGGCCTGGCAACTAGAAAATATTCTAGACATACTTACAATTCTCATCACTTTCGATGTCAGTATTACCAGCTTGCTGCCTATTTAGTTCACTCAACATGGTAACTCTTTCGTCACTGTATAAGTACTTCTTGGCTAACCGAGCGCTAACTATTAGTTTCTGTGTTCGAACAATTTTCAAGGCGCTTAACATGTGTGCTTGTGTTTGTTTTGGCGCTTGAAGCGCCCCCTGGAGGCCCGCTACAATTTGAAGGCTCAATCGAATAAAACGAAACATGGCATCATCAGTCTAGTCAGAGTAACGGAAATAAAAATTTATATAACGAGTCCACTTCCAAAGGCCGAATTAAAAACTCTAGTACTCTCTATAAAAATTTAACTGCCATGCATTATGGATATTTTACTGCTTCCGCAACGTTTTTAATGTTCTCGGTATTTTCTTGCCTACTCTTAACTTACCTATTGTATATGTCTATGTGTCACCTTGTACCACATCCATCGTAAGACAGATAACATTACTCTTTTGTCATGTATACTAACACACCATTTCTCCATTCTTAAGGTAGTAGACAGATGAATGTTACATATAGAAACCTTTCCTCACAGCGAAAGGGCAATTCCATTGCACGATTAAAAATGCAATTACAACACGAATTGCTATCTGAAATGATTGTTTGAGGAGACGTGAACATTAGTCGGGTATTATTGACAACATCTTAATAGCATTCTAAACTGCAACCTATCAAGTCAGGGCGTCGGGGGCGCTTGTGTAGTGTCTTTAAAATCGCACCAGTATTAGATGCACTCAGCTGGGGCTCACAACATATAGAGAGATGCTTTTAGCTATCTATCCTATTGCGTGTAAAGTACTGCGTGCAAAGTTTACATAAGGCTTTCTCAAAATATTACCGTCTTTCTTCAGTCTACGACACAACATGTCTGTGATTCAGGCTATCTTGATAGCGTCAAGCATTGCGCCTTCACAATGTAAACATATCAGGATACTGTTGTCTTAGCTTTAGTGTTTATTTCAAATGTTATCGAAACATGAATCTGCGCAGAATAACTGCATCAATATAATCTTAAGTTCTGCAGTTACTTAAAAACTAGTTTTTAAAAATACATAATTTGACGGGCATATAAATTTGAGCACATGGGTCAAATGTACTTGTAATAATTAATCATCTACTCCGTTATACTACCTATTGTAGCTTAGAGGCAACTGCTTTTGGTTGCTGTTGCAATGAGATTAGAATGTGAAGAAAGGTTATACCTCTGTGGCATTTCAATTTTTTCAACTAGAAATTAAAATGAACTATATTAATGCTTCTAACAATATGACACATCAGCAATGCATTGATTACTCAAGGGGTGACGGATAACCTGTGCTGCTTAACAACAGCCATTTAATTAAAATCTATACCATGAAGTTTAAAATATACAAAAAGTCTATTAACGTAAAGCTATTTTATGGGGTTTTCTGTACGAAATACACCATTCCATCTTTTATATATATGTATACATAGACGCCAAGATTCCAATGGTTTGAATACCATTTGCAGTGATTGCGTTTGGCGATGTTATTAGCAAGGATTGTGTCCCAGGCTTCGGTGCTTACACCAGACTAACGAGAACAACCTGTGCAGCAAACTGCTATGGAGCCTGCATATCAAGAGATCCATGCAGAAGATGATATGACCACAAACGGCCCTAAAAGCTAGGAAAGAGGAGAACAGAAAGAGTCGATGATGGCTGCAAGAACACAATAACAGCCTTGCATCATAGTGACACGTACATAAAACTGACTATCGAAAAATCACCGTGACTTCTGTGAACGTAACTGGATGAGGAACCATTACCAGTTCATTAGCTAGTTAATGAGCGGCCAACTGCACAGACCAACAGGTTGACCCTAAATTCTAGAATGGCTCAGCTCATCCAGTTCTGCTCTGACTAACTGAACCTTTTTGTTGGAAGTTTACACAATCCACTGAACGACCTTTTCAGAAGGGATCATGACACATGTTCGTCTGCATGCGGCAGGTATTGCGTATACATATATAAAGAAGTGAAATTTACCGTCGAATGTCTGCAAAATGGTGTCTTCTAAATTCGTATCATCTTGAGCGAAACATGGTTTCCAATGAATATTTCAATATATGTCCTCTTCACTCCATCGTCATTGTACAACATAATTGCAAAACAACACAAATCAAGATGGCTGTCTGCATTTTTTTGCTGAACAGCGTACCTTAAGGCTTCTACAAATCAATATATTGGGCTGTTAGCCGTTCGTTTACGGTTAACACAAAGGCATTTTTATCGATGAATGGGTATAGGTCAAAGAAGATTCCTACGCAGGGTAACTTTAGGAGGGTTCATAGGGTAACATAAAGTTAATATACTTTTTATATTCTTTTTCGTGCACGAATTAAGTAGCTAGCATGAAAAGATCCATTCGACGTAAAAACGGGTCTAAAATGGGTAATTACGCGACTAGTGTCTTTGACCATGGTGTCCATTACGTGTCAAAATTGCCGCTGCTGTTTCTGTTGTATTGTAGTATACCGAGCAATTCTTTCTCTAAAGAGCCCAACTAACAACTCGCTGCTACATAAAAGGATGTGAACAGAGTGAGCTTGCAACACAGGATCGATTGCTGCAGGAGAAGGCCAGAAGGACATCTGTTATAAAGACTAGTCTGAAAGGCTCATAGGTTTATGATGTGTTTTCGGCATAGCTGCCATCGATAGGCGAAATCAAAGTAGTACGTCTACTGCTTGTAATAGCCGTTAAATTGATAATAATTACCACAGAAAGGTTGCAGATGAAAAACGGGCATGTATTCCTCAATGAAAGAATGTTTAAGTGTTCTTGTTTCTATAATCAAAATTGCACCAGGCCGCATGTAAAACTTTCCGTTACAACGTGCCTTTACATACTCAAACAGCATTACGCTGCTGCAGTTTCGAATGCGCTGGAAATTTCGTGCATAATGTAAAATAAACTGTAAACATAATCGTTTGTTGACTTCCACTGATATCGGCGTTGTTTGACAGTAATTACGTATTATGGTTGAAATGCCTTTTATATTCCAGTCTTTCAGTGAATTCTGTATACTAATCGTAGATATTATTGACTATGATATCACTGTGTGCTATGGTTGGCTACACCGTGGGCAGTTAGTTTGTGGGCGAAGTGTTAACTTATTGCAATGCGAGAAAGCTTTGAAGAAGCAAAAATGTGTAATATAGAGACGTTACAGTAATTTACGTCACTTAGGCATTAATAAATATTAATTAGGGTATAAGGCTGATTAATTTGGGTCGATCAGTTGGATAAATGTATGCGTATAAAAAAATTAATGATGGCAAGTAGAACAGGCTTGAAGGTAAACTTAACATCCAGCATGTTATATATACGCTTTAATAAATAGATTTACCGAAAAACGTTATTTCATGAGTAAGATGTATATTTAAGCGGTAAGCATTTCTTCTCAAAAGACTCTAGCCACAACATGAAAAGTAACTTTTAACCATTGTTTGTTACAAATACTTACATAGAAATAGTGATTTGATATAAACTAAAATGGGCATGTATTTCTGCTGTGCTGTCTGTCTGTTTAAATTGCTCTACTTTTTTAAACTAAAAAACTACCAACAGCTACCAGCGCCAGTACTGCAAAACCTGAGCTTTTGATCACTCCTCAGGAGATCTTTCCAACTTGCTTGGAAACTCAGTCTCAAAAGACGCCTTCCATCATCGGAGGGTCTGAGATGTTGAACCCAAAGGATCTGAGGATGTCGATTCGAAGGGAGAAGAAGCAAGTTCATTTCGACCCAAGTGCACAGGTATACTCAGGCCTTTGCACAATAAATCAAATATAGTTTTGAAAACTCATAGTCTCTCAGGTGTTTGTGTATTTATCTCTTTTGTATTTATACTGTCTTTTAGATAATTACTGTTTAACATGCATCCGAAAACTACACGGAATTGGTCCTCAAAGCCTTCATTATATTTTCTGTGTTTTTGACATGCTGGACTCTGCGAAATCGATTTAAAATGGGCATCCTACAAATATTGGATATCAAGAACAAAAACAAAAAAGGATGTGAAACGTGTTAGCTAGAGATGATGATGATGATCAAGTTAACTAGCTGAAGGCAATGTTTATTTCCAAATTTTAGAAAGAAATGAAACAAAAAGTAAATTTTCCTAGTAATAAACAATTTACACTTATTTGTTTGAGAAAATCATAAACTGATGCTACTGATTTTGCTTGTTTTTATCAATATCCACTTAATCAATATTACTACTAGCTTCATAAAATGCCTGCACTTCAAATTATTAACAATGGTGGTTAACCCTTGTTAAGTGCAAGATTAGCCAGTTAAAATCTGAGTTACAAAAACCCGCTTATAAAGAGGCTTACGGAACATCCGAAATCAGTGCAACTTAGTCCAGTGCCTTTTGTTGATCGAGAATAGCTCTTACAAAACGTAAACAATTTCGCTAATCAATTGGCGGCCTTACGCATTGTAACAAATCGCTACCTAATCAAGCCAGTTACACGAGACAGCATGCTAAAGTTGAACAATTTTAAATTTAGAACTAACAACATTTGGGTAAACAGACCTTTGTGAAGGAAGCGGCATTCGTCACTCAAACTGAATATTGCCCAAAAATAGCGCAGAGTTTGCCGCCTTAACAATGCCAATCTCGTATTCGATCCAAATACATACTTCGACGATTATGTAGGCTTTGTTAAAGTTTGGTGCTTTTACTTTGTGAAACTTTTTTGTGATGTTCTCAACTCGAAACTATGACACTTTTTACTCTTCTTTATTATATTACTTATAGAATGATCTTTTTTGCTAAGGTCCAGAGAAGTTCCCCTAAAGAAGTTACTACCCTTACAAATTACATTTTAATTGAATTTCAGCCACAGTCGAAGCCGTCGGCTATGTTTGAAATTACAGCAAAATGGATCCGTTCAGGCGAAATCGTATCTGTTAGAGAAAGTCTCAAAAATAGGTCTCTCAATCCAGAAGAAAAGGACGAGGTAAGTGATCGTTGTCGAAGCAAGATGCACACAATGTATCCTATAGAATATCATTACGCCGCCTCAAAAAATTACTGTGTAGTGTTTACAAGAGTCCGTTTATTGTTTTTGCTAAATGCTGTTAAGACACTGTAAGCTTTACTTTTTTATCGAGTGATAATGTAAGACAGGGAGAGGGGCAGAGCTTTTCAATTACTGCACTCAAATAAACTTTACTTATTCATCTTCTAGTGAAATACTTCATATACACAAGTCAACTACATAAAATCCTCGGATCGAGGTGAGTATATAGAACCATTAAAATTCTTATGGGTTAAAAAAAACCATATGGGTGATACGAGTCCTATTGAGTTTGTAAGACTAATCTGAGAGATTTGTCAGATGTCCTGAACATCAAAAGGCAACGAGCGATACGATATTTATCCGCGTCCGTCCGATGATGTGCTGCATGTGTATCATTTACACGTATCGTCAGGCTCAGGAAACCCGATTTTCTGCAAAATTCACGATGAACTTTATGCATGGCAAAGTGAATGGGACATGTCTATTTAGCTATTTCGTTCTTTCCCGCTTGTTGTTTTTCATCGCAAAAGAAACCCTTATCTGTTTTCGCGAATAATTGCTCGCCGACTCTAAGCTTGGCTTTAAAGGTTATCGTTGGAAGCTCAAGGTGAGGACGTAGATCCTAAGAGAGCTCAGGTGATTCGCCTAGGGGATACATGAGGCGATTTCGGGTCATTTTGTGTAGTTCCAATGCTCTTTTAAAGAGAAACGTTGACCCTATTTAATTGTTTGAGGTTCTCCTCTGATAGATTTTACCATAGACTGCGATCGGAACTACCTTGAAGTCGAACAAGCTTCGAATTCGAATTCTCCATATAACAGACTCACTAAATCATCTACATACAAGATGACTTCGACGAATTTCCTCGACCCTTTTATTTGATCACGGAGGCTTCATAAAAAGATAGATATCAAGAGTGGGCTTAGGTTGTACCCCTGAGTCAGGCCAGTTGTCTGTGTGAAAAGTGAGACTTCGGCCACTTTGTCATCGATGCTTATTCTGTTCTCCTGTAGAATCGCAACGAGAAGATTAAGTACGTTCACAGGGACACCCATCTTGACCAACATGAACTGAACCTCCTCTATGGGAGTAGAGTCAACGGCTGCCTTGAAGTTGACGAGCATCGCGTATAGCGGATCGCGCAACGTAACCAGTGTTTTCTTGACATTGTTCATCAAAGTCTTGCGCGCCATTTCTATATAGCGTTCTTTCCGCAACCCATGTTGCTTCTCTGAGATAACGTGTACGCTTTCTAAATAGCTATTTAGTTTTTTAATTAGCATGTCAGAGAGCAGTGTATAACAAATGCTTTACTTTGCTATTCCCCGTTATGATGATGGCGCGGTTGGGTCGTTTTCTCGCTTAGGGATCACTACCAGAATAGCACTTCTTTGCTGGACTGGGAGTGCATTAATGTAGAAATATTCATTAAATAAAACGACAGTGTATTTGAGGTGCTCGTTGCAGACCCTACCTGGACCGGGAAGCATCTTGTTGCGTAGGTTTCCAAGATCTTGCATTAGTTCCTGCACTACTGTTTTGTTAAGGGGTGTCCCGTGGTATTGAGATTTCTTCTTGCCAGATTGTAGCCTTTGTGACGCGTACATTTTTCGACAAACCGTCTTAAAATCAGAAACTAATGGGTAGAACTAAGGCTGTATTTTGACCATAAGTCTAAGGGCCATTTAGGCCCTCCAGTATTTGGAGTGCCCAGCCCGCCTGAAGGGTTACTGTACTGTTGTCTTCTAAGTGTTACTGAGTCCGTTCTCGCCAGAACCTTGAAGATGCATGGTAGAATGTAAGTAGTGGACTTGTTTGGTTAGATTTAGGATGAAACACATAATTGTATTCAAAGAAGACTACCCGTTGGAAATGAAAATATATTATTTAATAGAGGATACTGTGTTTTGAAGCTGTCCGTATGTGAATACCGATCAAAAAAGATCGTATAGTGTTAGACAAATGAAACCATTCGTTATGGTACCCATACGGAGTCAACTATTTGGTTGCGGTTTCAGAATGGACAGACCTTACTAATGCTGGCTGCTCAAAATGGACAGGCTTCATTGTGCGAGGACCTTCTACGGCACGGGTGGGATCCGCAGGCTGAAGACCAGGATGGCTGGACCGCCCTTCACAACGCCGCTAAAGAAGGTTTTCTTGATGTTGCCGTACTACTCGTCACACACAATGCCAGCGTGGACTGCCGGGACGGGGTAAGTAACTATTTCGTGCGATAATACGAATAACTTAAATTGCAATTGTAATCACTAATAGCGGAAAGTATCAATTGTTGATTAGAGATTATAAGAATAATATCTTTGTAAAATTAGTGAAATTATCCAAAGAAACTAACGTCAACTTGCTGAACATACCTGACTTGCAGACTGGCTGGACTCCTCTTATGTGGGCTTGTTATCACGGTGATACACAGATCGCTCGTTTTCTTATTGACAACGGAGCGTTTGTTAATGTACACGATGCATACCATATGTCAGCGCTCATTTGGGCTTCAGGCAGGGGTCATCTGGAAATTGTCGAGATGCTCCTGCAACATGGTGCCAAAGTTAATGCAGGCGATAAGTTTGGCTCGACGGCCTTAATTTGGGCGGCTCGTAAGGGCTCTGGGCCAATTGTTGAAAAGCTACTTGAACACGGTGCCAATGTAGATACGGCGGGTATGTTCTCTTGGACATCTTTAATCGTGGCCACGAAAGGCAACTACGTTGACATTGCGGGCCAGTTACTCGAACATAGGCCTAATGTAAATGCAGTGGACGCAGATGGGTATACAGCTCTGGCAATTTGTTGTAAGGAAGGCTATACAGAAATTGCTACGCGCTTGCTAGCAGCCGGCGCGTATGTCAACATGGTGGATAAGGGCGGTGATACAAACCTCATTCATGCAGCAAAAGTCGGGAACCTATCCGTAGTTGATGTACTGCTGAAAAGACACGCAGACATTGATATTCAAGGTTCAGACAAAAAGACCGCTTTGTATTGGGCTGTCGAGAAGGGTCACGTCGAGGTAGTTAAGAGTTTGCTGGCACACAACCCAAACCTAGAATTGGCTACAAAGGACGGCGACACGCCGCTGATGCGTGCCACAAGAAATCGGAACCTCGAATTGGCATGTATTATATACCTATGCTATTACTAACTGTTTATATTGAATACTGGACAGATGCGCGGCGCATGCGTTTGTAAAAGTCTATCAAGTAAAAAAGCCCTTATTTGTGTTTCTCGATCATTGGGCTTTGATATTTATGCTTAGTTATTTATAGGATAGAATGCTAATGGTTTCAGACACAGCTAAAACACTCATTTAAATGCGATATATATGGAGATAATGAATGAATTTTTCCATATCTCATCCGCAGGTGACTTTACTGATAGAACGCAAGAATCCAGCCAAAGGTAGCGCCTGTGATAAGCGCGGCGACACAGCCTTGCACATTGCTATGAGAGCACGCTCGAAGGCTATATGCGAAGTGTTATTACGAAACCCCAAAAATGGCCATCTCCTTTATCGGCCCAACAAAAGTGGAGAAACCCCTTATAACATCGATGCCGCCCAACAGAAAAGTATTCTTCAGCAAATATTTGGTGCACGAAAATTGAACACCCATGAAGAGAACGAAAACATGCTAGGGTTTGTATGCGAACATTCGATTCCTTCTTTATGTATTTCATTCACATGAGCACATTAGTTAACTCAAATATTTTTAATTCAATAACTTTAGTGATCTTAATTACGCCTCAAAAGCTCAAGTTGATTTTGGTTCATTGTTCTGTACAGAGCTAAACACACTCACAGAGTGATCTTCGATTCTTCTGTAAGATTTAAATTCCAACCGAAGCCAACCTAAATTTTCGTTTCAAATAACTTCTAATTGAGTAGCCATTACTGTATTATAGTAAAAGCATCTCTGAATGCGTTGCAGGTACGATCTATATAGTAGTTCGTTGGCTGATATTCTAAGTGAACCTTCGTTGACCCTTCCAATTACCGTTGGCCTGTATGCCCGTTGGGGATCTGGGAAAGGTTTCCTCTTGAACAAACTGGAGAATGAACTTCGCTCGTACGGATTCCAATGGTTGGAGCAAAGTTTGAAGTACACCTGGGTACTTTTTATAACTGTCTCAGTGTGCTCAATTTTACTCGGTTACATTTTAGGTCAGTTAACTTTGATCCATTAACTTTTAAGCACCTTACTTACTTTATATATTCCTGCGCGATTTACTTCGCACCTCAAGGCAATAGATTAAGAACAAATCGCGCATTATTATCCTTGAGGAAGGGTACTGAAATAAAGATAGAAACCAGACTGTCTGGCTTGAACACTCACAGGATGAACCGTGCACTGTTAATCATCTGTTGTTGTTGTGTTGTCCTGTCCCTCCTTTAAAGTAGGTGTGGCGACCCAATGGTGGATAGTTGCCTTCGCCACTTCTGTGTGCTCAGTAATTCTTTCGTACGGTGCTTTCTATCTGATGCGCTATGGGTCTCGACACTACGACTGGGGATGGGCGTTCGAATTGGGCGCTCGTTTAGACGAACTTCTCGCAGATCTAAAACGTGTTCTACAGGTGTTATTCTGCCACCCAGGCAGTAGCCTAGGAGTAAAAGACAGCTCTATTCCAGTGCGGTTTATTTTCGCAAGCCAGACAAAAGTCAGCAGTTCCGGGCACGGTGGCGCTAGTATAGCATATCTAATGGTCTCCATGTATCAGGCCCTAGAGGAAGAATTCGGGTAAGGAGAGCTGAACTACCCAGTAAGAACTTGTTCAAAATAATCATTTTATTAGTTTCACTTCTATCATGAATAATTAGTGAGCTAGAAGTGCACCTAAACAAAGAGCGGGTATATGTATCTAAATATATATATATATATATATATACACGCATCTGTCGGAAACTGATGACAAAGACTCTTCAGTCATGAGCAAGTAAAGTTTTAACAAGTCCCATTCATAAACTGGCAAGATACTGAATGATATTCAAAGACATTTCATAATCTACGATTTATTAAAATGCACGAAGACAATTCCTGTAAATCCTATAAAAAATAAAATAAACTGTGAATTCTCCTAACTTATATTACGAAGCCACTAGACCCACCTGTGCAATATGAATAGGAAACAGTAAACACATAGCCACATAGCCACTAGTATCGCTAAACTAGGCATTGCAGGACCCTATGAAATTACCAGGTCTGTTTAATGTAACAACATATAAGTGCTTTCCTAAGTTCTTAGTGCATTACTTTTGTTTACTGCCTACCGTTGTTTAAACGGAATTGCCAGTGAGGGCATTCTTGGCAGCGGTGAACCTTATGAATAGATTGCAGTGTTATTGATTTCTATTTTTTCAATCATCATCTATACTTTTATAATATTTAAAGATGAATCAATTTCTATAGAACTTACAAAATTAATGCCTTGTGCGCTTGAACTTTGCAATTTTTCTTTCGATATGCAGGTATTTTACGACGCGACTTTATCGAGCCCTTCGGCCAAAAACGTCTGGCTCATCATCTTGGACATTTCGTCGCATGTGCTGTTTACCTTACTGGCTCGTCTGTGTTCTGACGGTGCTCTGTCTGATGGTTGCCGTTGAGTTGTTGATATCTTCCAAGCATAAAGGCAAAAAGGATGCGAGCATCTTAATTGGTCTCATGATATCATTTGCATCAATTGTTGGTGTTGTTTTTATTGCCAATTTGTATACGTGGTTAAAGATGGCAGCCTCTTTGTTTATGTCCTATGAACGAACAATTCATCGCTATATGGCCCGAGTCGATAGCTCTGTGCAGGGCGGCTATTCAGAGGTGCTGAAGTCTGAGGTAAAAGTTATATGTGACCTGATCCATTGCATGGATTCATTTATGGACAAACAGACGCGACTAGTTATCATCGTCGACGGACTCGATTCCTGTGAGCAGACAAAAGTGCTGAGCGTGCTCGATGCGGTTAACGTAATGCTTTCGGATCCGGGTATGCCATTCGTTATCATTCTCGCCGTAGACCCACACATTGTCATCAAAGCCGTGGAGTCCAACGTTAGTCGTGTTATCCACAATCCATCACTGAGCGGTTTTGACTATCTACGCAACATAGTCCATCTTCCTTTCTACCTACAGAATTCGGGTCTACGAAAGGTCCGCGCCGCAGCCCGTTCGGCTCAACTCAATAAAAGGTCCATGAAAGACCGTGGCGAAGAGTGGGAAAAAGATGGTTTAGCATCTCGTCGAGTTAGCAATTGCAGCGCCGTTGAGATCAAGACAAAGAGAACGTCAACAAAAGGCAACTATAAACTGCGCTCGAGTGAAAGCATAGCCAGTAGCATTGGCAACATTCATCAGCGCTCGACAGGCGCTGCCGGGGGCGCTGATTTAACGAAAGTGCTGTTGAATGACGATTATTTCAGCGATATTAATCCCCGTTCGATGCGTCGTCTTATGAATATTCTCCATGTGACTGGCCGTTTAATGAGAGCATTTAATATCGATTTCAATTGGTTAGTGGCAGTATTGATGCTTTAATGGAGCTTGCTTATAATGAAAACAATAGTAATATTCGAGTTTTCATTAAAAATTAGGACAATTAACTCAAAATCTAATTAGCTTTTGTTCTAGGTATCACCTTGCCTCATGGGTAAACATCACTGAACAATGGCCCTGTCAGGCTTCGTGGTTGATACATTATTGTGAAACGCACGAGCAAGAAGTCGACGACAACGTAACGTTACGCGCTCTTTTTGACAAAATTCGCGTTGGCATGCCAATGACGAAAGAAATAGAGGAGTTACAAAATATGGACCATGATATCAAAAAAATGGAATTGTGCCTCTCCCTTAACTCGCAGGCACTACAGGTTGGCAATTTACGAATGTTCGTTCCGTTTGCTATCAACCTCGACCCATACATACGGCGAGTCCTTCAAGACGTATATTTTTCTAGAGTGGAACAGGACAGCTCGGGCAAAATGGGAATAATTGCTGGTTGTCCATTTTCTGGGCAGGGCTTCCAAAGGAAGGTCAGTACTGCTCATTCATTGCGGAATGGCCCGTGGGGCATGTCACCTCTTGCGGCAGACCCACGTTATCTACAAGGGGTGGTTCAACAATCCGCTATTCAACAACAACAGCAGCAAACGCTACAACAACCGATGTACTGCACGCCCCAGCCTTACAACCGTAGGTATTAACTCCACACGTTTAATCGCGATGCTCTGTGGAACAGATAGGAAGCCTACTTACGTACAAAATAGTGTTATTTGAACATTCGTCCATTTAAACAACGTTCCATGACCAGGCCGCATCAATTACGAGGCTTATGATCACGAAAATTATGTTTATTTACAGCAATGATGTCGCCCTTCATGTATTATCCGCCAAATTCTTCAAATGCTCTTCCACTACCTCTCCTGCGACAATCGGGCCGACCAGTGAGTAGTTTAAACTAATTCCTGTCTAACTAATTGGCAGTTACTCGCTGTTGGATGCTTTAAAGATCTGAAAAAGGTCTAAAGCCTAAAGCATGTTATACTTCGTAAGATGCTACACCAATGCGCATTTAAATTCGATTGCAGTTATCATTCCCAGAGCGTTTAAGCGCGCAGACTAAGGATGGTATATGCAAGATGCTTAGCTGTCTGGATGGACTCAGTTCAGCCAATCTATCTGCGTACCAGGAGTCTATCAACAAGCACAATATCAATGGGAGAGTGTTACTTAGCTGCGACCTTCAAGAGCTAAAAGTCGTACTAAATATGAATTTTGGTGATTGGGAGATTTTTCGTATGCACATCCTGCAATTGCGTGCAGCCGAAATTAGTGCTCTTGTTGAGTCACCTTTAGATGAAAGCAATGGTTTAGGTCAGCAGCAGCAATTACATGAATGGAATGACAAGACTGAGCGACAAGACAGGGATTCATTAGGCAGTCATTCAAGGCCAAGCACAGCTGTTAAAAATGACGAACGCGGATCTGAACGGGAGTCATCAGCTAAATGCCATCGAAAACCTCCCACTGCAGTGAAGAACACCACATCTCTTGAAAAACAGGTAATAAACGCAAAATTTTCTAGCAGCGATGTCAGTGGCAGCGAAGCAATGATATCTGGTCCATCAAATCAATATCTAGCCGTCATCTCTAAAGATAGCAGAAGTGCCAAATCGTATAGAGCTATTTTAAGCAGTAAAAGAACGCTCTATTCTATCGAAATCAATAGCACTACAAGAGGCTTCTACGGTTTACGTATGTGATAGATATGATATTACGTTTTATATCGCGCCCTAAATCTCGCGACATCCATGAATTCTTAGCGTTACCGCGAACCAGACATCACACAGATGTTTTCTTAATTTTAACAGCATTAACCATACCATTGTTCAATTATGGTGCGTTAAACTATTATTAGCAAACATACAGTCTGTTAAATGAATTACGGCCTAACGATAATTTAGGTAACTATGGAAGACAGCATGATCTTGGGAGCTCTGGAAACACTCAATGAAGAAGCTCCGGAAGATGGCTGCCATATTCGTGAACTGGGATCAGTTGCTACCAGTCTATCACCTATCCTATCCGACGAGGAGTCTGTTCCGTCACCGTCCGAGTCAGCGAGCTCAGACCCTTGTCCAACACCTCTTTGTCCCCAACAGGTACCGGCAAGCGCTCGACTGCACGTACCTTCGGGCGATGATGGCTCCAATGCAGAACTCGACTTTGTCTATATACACAAGACCGGCAATAGTCGATACAGGTACTTCCCATTTACTAAGCCAAATATTAATCGTACAAAAAATTACTGACAATACATATTTATGAATGGGATCGTTAAAGAGATGGGCCGTGAGGGCTTGCAGCTTTCATAACATGGTGATCCCTTTTCCGTGATTCGGCGTCAGCTTGAATTCCCTATCAACGTCCGTGCCCGACATAGAGTGGGGCACCGGCGGTGGGGGAAATACTGGAAGTGCCTTCTCGACTTCTGGCGGTGGTGCTAGCAGCGGCCTCGCCCCAACGCCAGCGCAGGGGATCGCAGCTCCTGCTGCCCACGGCCTCAGTATCCCAACACAGAACGCCACTCTCGTTTCGGCGCCACCCAGTATCGCGTCGAGTCCATCGGTAAGGAAGTATTATTAATTATGTTTCTAATAACCGTTTAAATACAGATTAATACTGTCATCAGAATAAGTGGAAGCAATACCACAGAGCTATCATTAGACCCATTAAATATTACACTTTTTGATATGGCTATTTGCTACTCTTTTCTAACTCTGCACATATCTTTTTTTCATTTTGCAAATGTCTAGAATGTTTCTGCAATAGTAAAAACTCTCATCGTATTCCGATAGTAATTTACGAAAACGGCTGCTTTCAAGCTGGCAGCAATCATCGTTATTGTATAACACGTAACAAGTATAAGTTTGTTTGTTCTGTTTGATATGCTGATTGTTTACAATAACAAGTGCACATCTGCCTAGCGTCGTCCTTACAAACCTTCGACAAAAAATGACTGGCTACATATGATAAGGGTTTCCATGTAAAAAGGTGTGAGTCTATACTTTGTGGGTTCGGAATATATATACTTTTTTTTTTTCTAAATGTCCTTGATTTGGAAATTCTACCAAAATACAGCGGACAATTTTAAAATTAAAGAACCCTAAAATTTGCTAATACTGCTAACCAACGCAATTTTAATACTGCCACCACCGCTGAAAGTACGAAGATGGTATTGAAACTTTAATTAAAGGCAATTCAAAATAAACCATAGTAGCTTTAGTATACATAAATAGTTCTGTGGAAGGTTATGCGACTGGTGGAATCAAATGAAATTAAAGCAATATATATATACGCAGTTTCAAAGAGACTTAGGTTTGCTTTTCTTTTCCGAGATACAACATAGCTTGAAGACCTCAGTCACAAATAAAAATTAATGAATGTGATTATGACCAATTATATGACTAACATCAGTTTAATGTACCCTTTTCTAAAAGTTGGCTTGGCGAATAAATCCTATTTCGCTCGTATTGAAATCTTGCACTTCTCTTCACGATTTTTTGTATTAAGGTTCCTTCAATCTTCAGGATGGCGTATGTAACACGCGAAAGCTATTCCTCTATGTAGATTTATGTATTGCTTTTAAGAAAGTTGGAAGCGCATGGATAGTAAGGAACACTAAATAATATTTAAGAGCCAAACAAGAGCATTCTTTACAAAAATCACCTCAATGCAACCTAGTTGCTCACAAAAACGCTTCTTTTGAAAACGTATACCTAAGAAATCCGAAAATTGTTCTCACAAATAATATAATTTCGCTTCTCTAAGTAAATTTGTCTTTTGAGTAGACGAAAATAGACGAATAGACATTCTCGACTACCGCCCTTGTTTCAGTCTTGTCAGACTTTAAGCAAATCTTTAACGCAGAAAAATGCCATTATTGCATTAACTCGCGTAACTCATAAAAACAGAACAATAAATGTTTGTTACTGCCTTACATACCGTGTAGTAACAAGGTTTTCAACTTTTAATGTTGGCTCGGCTAACTATATTGGCGGGAGCTCCATATTTGCCAATTTAGATCGAATCAATGATCACGAATCTCATAAAAAAAAGGCCATAAAATTTATTTTCAAACAGGCTCGAATTAGGTTCGAACTGAAAGTCTAATTCAACGCTTGGCCCAACATAAGAGATTCCGATACCCACCTCTGTTTTTGGCGTTTTTTGGATCTACATTTTTACACAAAATGGAAGAAAAGACTTTAGTAACCGCTAGGTATTCCACAATTAGCTAGCGTTTATTCATTCCCTGGCCTAAATTATTTCGCAGATCTTTGACATATCATTTGCAATCATTACCGTTTTCTGGGCACTCTGCACCTGGATTACTTTCAGTGCTAAAGGAATCTCTCTTAGATACGTCAATCCAGTTGTCTCTGGTTGTCGACGACATAGAGGACTATTAAAATCATACCTTTTATTTGCATATGCTTTTCTTTCAAATCAACTCGTTGGCAAGAACACGAGTCTCCAACCAACTTATGACTACAAAATTGCCCAAAATGTACCCCGCGGTGGAAATGTTTGTTATTGGTTTCTAACTGCCCTTTGAAGGGTGACTCATTCTCTCTATTGGTAAATCCAACATATCAAAATACTGATTAGAGCATAACCATTCTAAAACCTTATAGGACATCTTAATACACGTTTAAAGAAGCATTCGTCTTAATTCCCTTGCTGTTCATCAGAGGAGTTCATGGGTCACCATGAATATCAAAACATCTAATTCGTTAATTTTAGAGTTTGTAGCTGTGCGGTTTTTTAGCTGGTATGGGTATCATAATCTTGGATGAACTGATTTTATCGAGCCTGGCAGTACTTCCTCAAGTTTAGCAGCCTAAAATTTTCTTAGGGCTTGTGGTATAGTGTAATCTAAGCCAACATATTTTCGTCTTAGTCTGGCCAACCGTTAGTCCCTGCACGAGGAAGTTCTCCAGGACTTGGTCAAGACCCCCGTGCCTTAAGAAACAAGCTTCTGGATTCTGTCACAGGCTCACCAAAAACTCCACGACGCAACCGCGACTCCGGTAAGTCTTACTTAACTATGACCGGACTATCCAGTCACGGTAGTAATTCTGTAATGATAGCTTAACTAAAATTTTTCTTTTCCTTTTATAATCCCATGTTCGATAAACTTAAAAAAATAAAAATGGAAATCTTTTATACTATGCAGTCATCTACGTTACTCGACTTGTGGAAAATCTTATTGTCCTTCGACAATTATTACCATCGCGACCTTTAGTATGCTAAGAAATTATGAGAAGTTATGAGCATCTCTATGCTTACACAGTAAGTCTATAATTTATGACACCGATGTACACGAACCACATGCGGAGTCACTTTTGGTGCTTCGTATGTGTTTCGTGCGCTTTTATAGGCATATATATAGGCGGACAGGCGTTATACTGCCATTCCACATCAGCAGTGCCATATAAGAAATGGCAAATAAATGATAGTAACCAAGGAATTAAGCAGGCCGCACAACAAATGCGCAAACAAATATTGTGTGATTGCTTTGATTCTTTATCAGTGCCCTTATATTGTATAAATAAGACACTAGCTTTACCCAGTTTATGGTTTAGTAAACCAGTGACTATCAAAAATAATACGCTATTTGTTTTGCTAATGATTATTTCAGCTATCAAACCACCTTCTTCTCTAACAATCGTCGAAGGAATTCCCACTGAAGACGAGAAGAAGCCTCTACTCAGCGAAATGTCAGTTACGGCAAAGCCTTGAATACTATCTGGTAGGAAATATGAAATGGTCTGAATTCGAATACGACTCTGGACGCTTCGGTTTGCCAGCAAGACTAGCAAAAAAATTGATTCTTCTATCCTGTGAAATTTAAAAAAACATCTTCGAAATTTGAATAAACTGTCATTAAATCAGTTATATGTACCCTGCTAAGCATCTTATTCCTTGGAGGATATAGACGCTTAGCACAAACGTACTTTTTAACGTATGGCTGGGTATAAACTCTGGGCTAGTTACTGGTCATAGATGTGGGCAAGAGCTTCATATTACTATAATGTATGTGTCGTGCGTCGGCATTACAGGGAACCGGTAGATTTGCCCCCTAGGGGTGTTCAGCCACAATCGGCTGAATCTAGAAGGCAACACTTCGGACGCCAGTTCTCAATCAAAGAGGATGACGTAGATCGCTCCAGGTAAACTGCAGGATCGATGATTCTTAATACTTAGAGCTTTATTGGGATTCTCCGACTTCTTGTTTCTTTTTCGTACACGAAACCCTACTTACTATCATTAATTGGCCTGCTCTCCTCGATTTCAACTCGTCTGTTTCCCGTCTATAACTACCTTAATTCGGCCTATATCACTAGTTTGCAGGTACCTTTTCGCACCCAATAATTAACATTTGATCATTCATCGTATAACAAGCAAACACTTATGTATGAGTCTACATATTCGGCATGCTGCGAGCTAACGCTATCGAGCTTACATGTGAGCAAATCTAACACACTTTACGTATGGATAGAGCAGTACATAGAATAAGTCACCTCAGCTGTCTCAGACTTGACAAGGGGGTTCCGCGCAATAATCACTTCAGCAGCAGCAGCACAGATTACTCGACGTCACTAACTGTGTGATTTAACATCCTTATCATCCCGCCTTGCTATACACCATATATATATATAATAAAAACCAACTGGTCCACCCGCTGTGACCTGCTCTGTTGCGTTTAAAAGCTTCTTTTGTTTGTTCGCAGCTGCGGGCTTTTTTGATGATGATTTATCTTTTATTAGTTAGGTAAATATGTTGAAGTTCATCTCAGCTTCTCCTAATCTCAAACAAAAGAATCGTCAAAATCAGCGTTAAACTACTTTTTTTTATTTTGTTTTACACTGAATCTGAAGTAAATACGTAAGGATCTGCCTATGGTGCATTACTTCTTACTATGCCTTTTCCAGTGGTCGACCACAAAACGCCTCCGTTACGCGCTCCAAATCGCTAGCGTCAGATGCACGCCAAGAATACGAGGAGCTCAGCTTTTCGCAGAAACGATTGCAGAGGGAGGGCGGTTCTTTTGAGTCTGCTGTCGTAGCAATAACAGCAGGCGACGCGGGCTCGTCCGCTTCGCATTTTTCAGGACACTCTGCGCAATCTGCTCGACGGTCATGCGCGATTTTAAGGCTTCACCAGCAGAGCGGCCTCACCGATGACCCCAGGTTCAAAGAGAATGAAAGAAATCTGCAGGAAGAGCGAAAAACAAAATCAACGAGCGCGTCAACTGAGACAGTCATTTGAGTGACTGACCCTCAGCTTACCTTTTCTTCCTCAAGTTGAAGTCATCAACCTACCCGAAGGAAAAATGCATTCCATACGCTGCAGTTACGCTTGTTAAGTTCCAGGCAACAATACAATGTTCACAATAGTGACTGTCTATCTCGCTGCAAAGGCAGCCCGCGCTCTTTAGATGCCTTACGTTCTCCGTTGAGATACCGACAAATATTGAGTAACATGAACGACTAATATGTCCGCAATGGAGTGGCTCTTGACCGAACGCTCTCACTACCCGGTGACATTTTTCTTTCTTGCACACTTTCTACCTTAGCTTAGCATATACAATAATACCATATATATATATATATATATATATATATATATATGGTATTATCGTCTTGACGTTTACCTTCCTGCTGTTTATTTGGATGGAGAGAAATATTTGTGAACTAAGCTAAACGTTCGCCGCCACTTTCAGGATTTTTTTTATTTAGATAGATGCTGTGGACTTATAGATCGTATCTGCACAGCTCAACAAGAGTGTGTTTTCAGGGTATACATATTCAAAAAGAAATTACCGCATACGTCTGAAATGACGGTTATTAGTTCGCGTATTTTTCTTATTCACTAGTCAAGTGTTTATCTGTTTTGTAACTAAGTTTGCCACATATATCATATATTATGAGCCACATATATCAATGGTTATAAACCATTGGTGTATATGGCTCATATCACTGACTCAAAAGCAATGTGTTTCTATTAATGGTAATCCACCTTATCTGCAGTATAAATTCGCAGTAGCGAGTCGATGTTCATATTAGTTCAACACATATTGAAGCAGAGACTCTGGAACACATATTGAAGCAGAGACTCTGGAACACATATTGAAGCAGAGACTCTGGAACGATATGAGCTCAATGAGCTAAATTAACTGATATCAGACTTAAATTGACTTAAAATTAAGTGACAGTAGTTCGAACAATAAAATTCTTCGTATATCATCATGCCTTCACCAGTCTGCAGCAATTTCGGTGGACGAGCGACAATGAAATGCCTGTATCATTTATATCCTGGACATTTATATCGTCTACTAAATAAGTGAAAAATTGCTCAGAGTTGGAAAAAAGGCTCAAGCAACAAGATACTTTTAGCAGTTGGTAACGTGGTTCTCTCCATTTTGACTTTTTCTATATAGTATCTTACATATATTATCTTTAAATGATTCATTTAGCTTCTGTAGAGTCTACCGCATGTTATTTATTGGTTGTTAAGCGCACAGAAACGTATTATATAATAATATGTTTGAACAAGATATACAAGCAATTTTTTCGCTTATACAGCAGATACCAGAAGACAATCGATTTATTTTAGTGGTGAGAAAACAAGGTGACTGAATAGGTCATAAGTTCGGTATTAGATATTCGGATTAGGCGTGTGTGTGATCATCCCGATTAGATTGGCTACCGCTTTCCTATCTCACTCTCCGGCTGTTATATATTTCTCCCCACCACTTTCGTTTTTACCATGAAGCGATAAGCCCACGTTACAGATAAATAACAATAATGTAAATATGAGCTAGAATTTTGCGACACGACGAAACGCCGTTTAAATTTCATTGCAACATTCTGGATGGTTGTTAGGACCCTCAATTCTGACTCCAACTTTTCTATAGTTGAAACCAAATTTGTTGTTCGTTTAAAATTTTTGTTCATTAAATTTCGCCACTAAAATGGTGGCCTGTCTCAGGATTAAATAATAAATAGTAACAAACGAAATAATGTACGGTGCCGTTGAAACCAACGAACTTGTTGCATTCATAGAACAAGGTTCAATAAGCAAGAATCGTATTTCGAATCAAATCACTTGACACGAATAAATTTTTTATGGTGCAAAGTAGCAGAGATGACATAAAAAATAGCAACTGTTTTTTTTAATTTTTAACGGTGTTTTTATCGATTTAATTATTGGGAAGCATCAAATCTGCCACGTAAACTTCCGGTGCACTTTGCTTGAAGAAAATCTATTTTACAAAAATACGAGAAGTTTTTTAGATGTTTTTCTACTTTGAAGTCTACTATAACCCAGTATAGTACTAGTAAATGTGCATATATATGTCACTCGACTATGATGCTCATTTTATGTCTACTTATCATAATCACCTTCGTTATCAATATTACCGCACTCACGTTAAAGTTCTACGAAGTTGCCTATTCCAAAAATAAAAAGAAGCGCCTGAGTAATCCAAAAACATGTTTCTACAAATTCCTCAAACACGAGGTATATCTAGTATACACAGTAGACGTTGCACATATTTTCATTCGATAATTCTAGACCGGCTATTATAGGTCCAACACAGGCACACTGGTGTCTTGTGGAGCCGGCGGAGGTGCTAATGAGAAGCCAATATGCCTTTTTTTCCGCCAGTTGTGATATTTGTTTAATGCTGCTTCAATCATCTCGGCCATATGCATCGTTAACTCCGAGTTTTGATAGTTTTGCTGAAGGTTCTCTTGAAATGGTATGAAACGACGATAGCGGAAGTTTTCAAGTGACGCTTTGGAATTCTCAAGCTTCTTTTCGAGTTCCCCGCTTGTAACTGGAAAACAATGCCACAGATGACGTAGCAGTTCCGAAAGTTCCATTTGTACGTGCACTAGCTCACGGGCCACTGCTTCAGGAACGGCGCCCTTAACCTTGACAGCACCCTTCTGACCGCCAGTAGTCTTCATGAGCAACCCACCTGGACTCAGATCTCCCAAAGCGGCCAAAGCAGCAGCGGACGGTAATAATGCTTGACGTGGTGCAGGTGACCATCGGGAAACGATTGCTGAGATCGTCGTTAGTGCACCTTCTGCTTCTGCCATAGGGACATGATCTACCGCATCTGCAATTGGCCCCGTTTGATACTTGTCGGCTCGCTCTACAAAATTAATGAAAATATTAGTGTTTATACCGACTGCCTGAATTTGGAAGTAACAAAACCTGTGTTATAATGAAATAGGATATACTCTAGCCTGCTTTAAAATATTCTTAACTTATCGACAATTAATCAGTTATACCAGATAATGTTATTTCAGTAAGGCAATTGTGCTATAAAATAGCGTAAAATACAGACATTATTGAAGATTGATAATGCTGTACTACATGGTACTTTTAAAATATATTAATAGGCTCCTGGTATTTTGATGCTGATTTGTTTTTAATATGTATTAGCTGATAACGTTCTTGTGTAAATAATTATCGACCCTCCTTTCCATATCTATAAAGCACAATTTTGTTAATTCACTTGACCGAGATACGACAGTTGCTCTTAAGGCACCACTAACACCCTGCCTTTTGAAACAAATACTTTTTATAAACGTAATCACTTCCTAGGTACTTTATCTATTATTCTTGTATGTTGTTAGTCTACATACTACACAAGTCGCCTTGAGATAAAGAAGAATATTTTTAGAATACGCCTTACAATAAACGTAGCCCTTAACAGTTCATTTAATATGAAGTACTTCTATCAATCTTGGTTATGTAATTTATAAATACGCAAAAAGCATGGCACAAAGCTAAACAGAAAAAATACTTTGTAAAAACGAATATATATAAACATAAGCGACATCGAAGGAAGGTGGCCTGAATTATTTACTAAATGGTTATTTGTCCAAAGTAAAATCATACTACGCGGAACATTAATCGCGGAAAGCATTACCTAAATCAAGCCTGACCCCTGCCAGTGGTGGGTTCTCTAAGTCGGGGTAGTCAACCTTGTCCATAATTCGAGCTTTCTTAGCGTCCGCAGCTGAGCCTTCCTGTATACCCGAAGACTTTACGACCATAAGGGAGTGGTGATTGAAACGGCGAATGAGTGCTTGGTTTGGTGTCAGTTTCGAGGTATCCATGGTGGCAGGTGTGGATACTAGGTCTGAGAAATCAGTATCAGCGTGTAATCGAAGATCGAACAATGGGTTAGCCAAGGTCTTGCTGACGGCAGTGCGCATCTCGCTTTCGTCTTGACGCGAACACTCAGCAAACAAGTCCTTACTTCCCAACGTGAGACGATCCCTATGAAAGTAGTGTGACTGGAAGAAAGCTGTCCAGAACTCAGACTCGCTCATTCGATGCGGGACATAGTCGAGGTATTTCGCCTCTACAGCTGGGTACGTCTTAAAGATGTTGTCAATGGTGTCTGTTGTAAGATTATATTTAAAGCCTGCCCCACCATCACTCGCTTCGGGTTTCACGTCTACGAGGAATGAACCGGTCACTCCAATTGGTTGCGGCGGCTCTTTTTTCGGCATGTACGTTTGCCAAAACTTTTCAGCCGGAATAATCTTTCCGACGACCAGATTTGTGTATAGCTCACATAGCTTAGGATCCTCTTGGAGAATCTTTTGCTTCTCTTCGAGATCATTCGATATCTTCTTTTTGAACTTAGGTAGCAGCTGCATGAGTAGATCCTTTACTTGATTACGGTCCGATATCTGCGCTTTTTGACCTTCGGGATTGATGAATCGAAACGTCGTCGATTCATTGTTGTTCAAAACCACCTGCAACTGCACTTTGGCCTTGCCCTCTGATGAGATCTTTTGCAGCTTAATATCGGCGTAATTGTGCGAGATGGCCAAAACCTGAAATACATCAAACAAAAACATACATACTCTATATTGGAGCTTCTTTCTAGCTTGTTTACCATTGACTTTAAGAGCCAAGCAAGTGACTCAATTCATTGCTTTAAATACGGGTAGTGTATATAGAAACACCTGGTAAAAATTGATTGCACATCTACTGCAGCTCAACAGCGGCACTTCTTTCATTGGCGTTGATATGAGTAAGATTTAGAGGTTGACGAAGTTCGTCCGTAGAGCACGCACCTCTTTGCCGTCGGGCATCCAAGCGACCCTGGATGCCATGATGTAAAGCGCGCCGTCGTTTTTTTTGTGGCGGACATTGTTCATGACCAAGAGAACATCCTCACCTTTGCCCATCTGAAAAATGGACGAAATAAAAACCTTGCAAAATACATTTTATCGAGGAGTAGCGTAACTTCAATAATATTAATCAAGTATCAAACGATAAAGGAATACATGAATATTGTCTTGAGCTTTTTTCTATAATACACTGAAACGCTAACCTAATAAGTAGGCCTTAAATACGCATATCTTCGCAGGCTTCGCCACTATCAGGGTACATACAAATCAAATCTAAGCATCTTAAAACAAATGTAAAATCACGTGTAGCACAAAATTTCAACCTGTACCAGTATTTCAAATTATTAGAAAATATTATGGAAACAATGATCAGCATAAATTTCTCGTTTAATCGTAGAATGTGCGCTATTTAAAGAAAAATATGAGCCATGAGGATAGCGAAATGTACCTACCCGTTGCTTATACTATATTGTGTCTCATTTGATTTACTATTTTTAGTGCAATTTAAATTTCAGCTCTCAAAATTCTTGCTATTATTAAGACCTTTACAACGTTGTCCAAATCGAAAACACAGCTGCGCAAATCCGCATGAACGAAAGCACTCATTTTGTGCTATCTAAACGCAACCAAATTTAAACCAAATGAACTCAATCTAAATAGTCAAAACCACTCGAATTTCAAACATGTTTAAAGGGCATTATTCAACAGCTGCTTGGTGATCTCTCCACCACTGAACAACTTATATCCATCCAAATCGCTGCAGAATTTTTTTTCCAATAAATTTGCTATAATAAATGCGATTTATTTTTCTGTTCGTGACCAGAATTCATTATCATGCCAAAACAAGTAATCCTTTAGTACCGTACCAATTATGAGAATACTAAATATTAGTACAATAATATATTGCATAATTATGGCTCAATAATTCATAATCAAAAGGGAATAAACTAAAATTATCCAAAGTAGTTATTTTAAACTAACAAATAAATAAAAATTAAAATGAATATATTATTTTTTCAGTGACATTTAAATTTTATAGACAAACTTTGACATGTTCCTGTTTTTAGGGCAACGCGAGAACCTCCATAAAATATGTAAACACTGTGCGAATGGAAAACCAGTAACAAAATACTACATAAAAACTTTCACTTCAAAACTATCCAGCTGGAGACACTAACGATTTGTACAACGCATTAATTGAATTAACCGCCAATGCAGTCCACTGGAATATTCACTTCGCTGTAGAAGCGTATGTACACATTTGCGCGGCTGATAGATTTCTAAATAAACTGAGAGTTTTGTCAGGAACGCTCAATCATCTAGAAGCGGCTCATGCATGGTGATTTAAAATCGACAGCTTTATCATTTGTTTTGGCGAATGAACGTATCTCGGATTGCAGAAAAGGATTTCTTTCCCACTTCGGGCGGTCTACTAGCTAGAAGAAAAACACTTCTTGGTCAGTGCGCCCACTTGAGTATGTTGTTAAATAATCGTACCTGCCATATCACGTTGTTACGATTGACGTGATAAAGCAAATTAATGTAGGTGTCATCTGAGCAGTATGCGATAACTGGTGTCTTTCATGCTTGTCCTTAGAGTAGCGATATACAGACAGGACCACGCATCAATATCCTGACAAAAGGATGTTGTTTAACTTATGAAAATCTACAATAAGTTCGTGCGCACCCTTTATTGAGAGAATCGTCGAACTGTTATATACCACATTGACCGCATGGTAGAAGTTCAGTTGCATGTTGAGAAATCAGAAACTTCGTAGATTTGATGTCTTTCCAACATGGATGTTGAATGTTGGTCGTAGAAGTTTATTTAACAACAATTCATGATAATTTGGAATAGGTATCTTGCATATATAATATTTACTTTTTGTAGAACACTAATAGTGTAAATAGATGTTTAACGATCTCTTCGGTTATAAGCCAAATGATGCAGTAGTCAGAAAAACCTGGCATGTATGCAACGATTTGAAATAATTATCGAGTCCTTTTATCATAGATAAACCGCGTTGATTAAAAATCTTGCCATTAGAGGTAAGCTAGCTACCTTTTTTAACAAAGTTATAATAATAGGGGTAAAATATTACTACAATTTATAAGAGCTGAAATTGGTCAGCATTACACAGGCAGCACTAACGATGCAAAAATATTGGTGCAGTGAGGTTTCTGTCTTAGTAAGAAAAAAGGCTGTCATTTTTTCGATACTGTTATTAAGTATTTCTTCAGATGGCTGGCTTCAAAGTGGAATTCGGACTCTGCCAGATTTACCGTAATATAAATAAAATAATAACCTCGGTTTACCAACAAGGCTTAATTATCATGTTCATCAGATGAACCCTTTCGTCTTAATTTTTTTCCATGACTCATTTTATTCCTTATGTTACACGCATCGGTACCATTGTTATAGCAGTACTTCAAGGATTTGCTTAAGTACGGGGCTCAAAAGCAATCTGAGAGCATGCAAAGAGAACTGATTTCATCGCATTGCCTATCGCGCGGATTTTTTCATTAAGGTTAAGGTTCGTCTATGTCCAGATTAGTACCTAAAACGCTCCTGCGTTTATACGGTTACTAAAGAAGCATATACCGCTGCAGCATCGTGCGACCAAAGCTTTCTCTTACAATCAAAACTAACTTCAGGCTTGTCGGTTAAATAAATGTTTTAAGTTCTACCATTGCCGATTACCTTATTAGGTTATTGATTAGCTATAAATATTTCCAGTTTTTGAGTTCAGCACTGATGTTAGGTTATGTATAGTTAGGTGGCCCCAACACGAAACGAACTGTGTCTAAGCTTAGTTTCGAGCTTAAACCACTGTACATCGCTTTACGTTTCGTTTTACTTAAAAATAAACGTTTCGAGTTTAATGCCCACTACTGCGGTTAAGCACTCCTTTAGATAGCTAGCTTACGGCACGAATAGAAGCGTGTCTACGCCTGATTCCAAACCAAGATCATTCTCTGTCAGTAAGTTTCGTAGGTCAGCACATCACAGGGACTAGAGTTAGAGATACCGCCTACAACTTAGCAGCAGACGATGCTAGGTTGTCTGCTAATAACCCTATAGGTGCTTTAGAAGGAGCGTTGATTCCCATGTACATGTGCATAAAGTTGGAAATTGAGTGCGCCCGGCTATCGCATGTTGAGAATGTTAGCAACAAAGAGCTTCATTAAGTATCTTCTCGTAGTAAGTAAGATTATTCTTTTAAACCAAATTAACACTTTGTAATTGTATATATTTCTCTTCGTTTTCGATAAAATAAATTTTAATAATGAGGGCGTATAATTTTGGCCCACTGATCTTATATAATATCTCTAGGTACTAATTAGCACTATCAAAAATAATTTATGACGAATGCCTTTTAACGAAGCTCCTGCTAGGAACTTCTATAACTGTTTTCTCTCTGTTAGAAAAAATGATAAAGTAATCAATTGCCTTTGCTTACCTTCTCGCGAAAGGGATAGCACATGAGAGTATATGTACACTATCATCGCGTATTAATTAAATATAAAAAATTGGGTTTTTTATACATTATATA